TACTAGTAGCGATGCACTTTTTTCTAATAGCTTCTTGTTACTGCTAGATGCCGCTAGACTCAGTTTGCAAGTTTGTTTGTGGTGAGGATCTGCTGGGTCCGGATCCCGGACTTTCCGGACCCTCCGCCCGGACGGACCGGTGATGCAGCACCAAGGTGCCCAGGTTCAGAATCACCATCATTCCACCCAGGAGCACGTTGTCCAGAAGATTGCAGATCCTCAGCCCACGAGCGAAAAGATCGAAAGGAGAACTCGAAAATGGGCCGTCTGTGGGACCTTTGAACATCTTCTTAACCACATGTTAAACACATCCAAGAGCAATGAAGGAAATGATCCGTGGCTGGGTGTCGGTGATCCTCTGCAACATGCTCAAAGATGGGGCGGGCCAGCCTGCAATGCTATGGATGTTAAGCAGTGCAAACAACTAGATCCCGAATTCGGGGGCTTAAGATTAGTCGTCCTATTTCTATCCGGACAGCCGGACACCGCCGTCACCAAAAAATTGACAGCTGTGGTTTCTCAATGCTCTTCAGGTCAAGTAGGTGATTTGACCGCGAAATGTGTCCATGCCAGAAATACTTGGTGAGTTCTATTTGATGCCTGCTGATGGGATGGCTATCCTCGAAGTCCGTCCTTGGCTTTCACATCATCAGGTTGCCCATCCCTGGTATGTTATATGTATATATGTATAATAAATTATAATAATAGATGTTAATGTTATTTAATGGTATATTATGTTGCATCCCTGATTGTAGATAGTCTCGTACCATTGTTCCTAGCTGTTTAAAGGCCTCTAGGCCTCTCTGCTCCTGGCGCTCCAATTGGCTCGCCAGCACTGTGGGCCGTCTGCCCCGACGCCCAAGGAACAGGAAGCGCCATGGCTGGAAGAAGGCCACCATCATGGAGTTCACATACAAAATGATGCCTTGGGCGACACGCGTACGCCTCCAATACGGGCAAAGCATTTGAAGAAAACTCTTCATGAGAAGGCTTCCTCAAACAACTCGAAGGTTGGAGGTGGCTTGGAATCTGGGAACGTGGCTATGTCTGTTCGGTCTTTACCATGCACCATTGCGTTTCCATGGGCTGGCTCACAAATTTAGACTGCAGAGTTGGCGCACCGGCAAAAACATGCTAACACCCAAACAGCATGTGCCTGTGCAGGATGCAAAAACATGAGCGCATAGAAACCCAAAGCTTCGCACCATGAAACATTACAAGGTTGTTTTTGCAGAGTGAAGGCACGTATAGTACCAATGTCTCACTGTCACCCAACCATGCCAGTTTCATGAGACATACCTTGGCACCATTTGGCACCCATGAGATCTACATGAGCAACTCGACTCTCCAGCTTGCCCCACATGGAAATCCCGCCCATGGAGCGATCTGCACATGGAAATGCAGCACATCGAATTCTGCACCGGATTCAGTAGCAGATAGGATAGGCCACGGTGCTCATCATCAGCAGCTGCCCAGGCGTGTCGGAGACTAGTGGGCACAAGGCCACGCAGGCGTTTCCTGAGATGCCACAGCGATAACCCAAGAGACGCCAGGCAGCCACTCCCTAGGGGCCCAAAAAGGGTTGACCCCAAAACGGCTGATCAAGAGAGCGCATCCTCAGATCCAGGTGGTATGGACCCCTTGTACATTCTATACGGACCGTGGGTGCTCAAATCCGGGTGTTCATCCTGCTTTCCAGCTCGCCTTTTGTTCCGCCTTTTGAAGCTCGGGATGATCAGACTTTGCAAGAAGCTAAATTGGAACAAAGGGCATCGCTACGAACGGAGCATCCTTGCTCCGTTCGTAGCGATGCCCTTTTGTTCCTGGTAGCTTCTTGTTACTAGTAGCAAGGCCCGGAGCCCCGTTCGTAGCGTTCGATCGCTCCTAGGGCCAAATGTCCACAGCCACATCGGAAGACGAGGCACTCCTACAATCTCCTGCACTACGAGGGGTCCTGACCAACTTGAGGAAGGTTGGTCTTCCCAGCTGTTAATCATGAATTATGATACATGCTTGGTGATTGTTTCTAAAAGACTGGAGCAAAACATCGGCATCCGATCATCTGCATGTTTTGAGGACTTGATGTGTTTTCACTGTAGGCATCGGCAATCTTAAAGAACTTTGAAGGGTTCATTCTTCTAGAAGTTTCTCGCTGGACGACGTCTTCGAAGGTTCCGACTCAAGAATATCTCTCTTTTGCCAGGATTGATTTTCCCAAGCATCTGATCAAGAAGAAAACTGAGGCCATCTCCATGCCCGGCCGAAAGCGCTTGATGAGGAAACCGCAAGCAGCCAAAAACTGAGTATCGGACCTGGTGGCGAAAGGAGATCACCGGAGGTCGTCAAACAAAGAATGTATTTAATGCACTAGACATACCCCACGCACCACCTGGTTTCACCCAACCCTCGAACACTGACCAGGATTCGAGGTCCAATGGAGAGGACCGACTCACCAACCCCAAAGGTTGACCCCAGGCCCTGCAGATCCGCAGTCGTCGCCTTGCCATCCGTCGGGGCAGCTCCAGCATGACGGTCCAAGTGACAACGACTAGGAATATGATTGGCATCAAGCAAGCGAAACCTGAGCAAACCGTGCCAAACAGCAAGCCAGCATATACCAATAAGAAGCCTCCCGCTCCCATTCCATTTCTTGGTTTCCTTGTTTGGTGGAACGTTCTGCAGTACATCGGGGAGAGCTATATAGGTCGGTGCGAGAAGGATTATATTCTCAGCCTCCAATTAGTTCCACAGCCTGACAAATGTCACCCCTTCTTGCAGCTTAGGAACCGCCAATCAGGATCATTGCCAAATGGTCATCCGCTCCGTTACCTCAAGAAATCGGGAAGTAAGTGAGGAGATCCAGATTGGATCTTTTGTAAGTGAACGATCTGTTTTCCCGTGATCTCGTCAGGACTGGTTGTGTGCGAGCAGGGGGCTCCAAAGAAAACAGATTTGAAGTTTTGAAATATATAAAGTGATGTCAATGTCACTATGAAATATGAAAAGTGTCACCGATGTCGTGGTTTTGAACGGATTGTTCCGTGGAGTGCTGCCAAACATGGGTGACCTGTCTGCAATGACCCCATGATTTTCTTGTTGAAACATGGAACTTGGTGAAAGTCAGTTTTGCCCCAGGTATTATCTATTAGGGAACAATGTAAATATAATAAGAAATAGTCTTAGGTTGCCCCTTAATGTTTGCACTTTATAGCGCATGTTTTCTACAACTGTTTTGGTTGTTCCTTTAATATAGCCTACTACTGGCCCATTTCGGGTGGACTCTTCACGCAAAAACTTTTTGAAGCGCGGCCACAAGTTGCAGAAGACGGTCTTGTAGCGCTTCAAGGTCATTTTGCCGTTGGGATGTTCATTGCATTGGTAAGGCGCCAAGAGCATTGAGAAAAGGATGATGAAAATGACCAAAACAATCGATCCGATGGTCCTGCCAAGGGCCGATTTGCTGATGTCGAAGCCAATCCTTTTCACAGATTGAGCAGCACGCAACACAAATAGAACCTGTTGCCTTGGAGTTCCTGGGGCGGTTTTCTACCATTCTCCCGACCGACAGCTGTCCAAATGGTGCTACAGACTCGACCGGGCAACTCTCAGACTCAAGAGCCGGGTCGGGCCGGACCTTTGTTAAACCAACCTCCTTGTCACGACGTCGGGGACGAACCCGACAAACTCGTCGCGGGAAAGGACGTCCTAATTGTTGCTTTTCCACCCAGCAGTGTGTCCACACTTGGGACTCTTACGGTAAGAGTTGGGGACAGGTGTCTGATCGGAGGTGCTCGCATCCGATGGCGCACCTCTAGACCTTTACACCTCTAGATCTTTAGACACACTGTTTGGGGTCTCTTGCCGGTTCTTGTGTGGGTGTTAATTATCATAGTGTCCTCCGAAAAAGGGCAAACTATGTCCAACAACCAAATGGGTGTCACTTCCTCCTTGCAGTCTTGGTCGTCTACAGTCTATACAAATCCGTCAGACCGTCCTCAGCAAATTGCTCATCTGGAAGGTCTTTGAGCGAGTGAATAAAAGGTAGCAAATGTGCACGACCAGAGCAACGAACCTCAATGACACCGGGGGGCATCAACCAAAATTGGCTTGGAAGACTCTTCGGTCTTTGCAAACCTCTGTTGACACCAAAAATGCTGCCACATACCGATACAGGCGTTATACCACGTTTCATATGCTGTCTCATCTCCTTTCCTCAAGCAAGTTCTGACAAAAGGCGCCCAAAACTACTAGATGGCCCTTGATGTTCTTCTTGCAGCGTCCGTGCTCGAGACCTGAATGGAATTGAACCCCATGTAGGGCGAATGCCCCACCATGAAAGAACCAGGTCGCTACCATGCGCCATGGTCGTTTGTGAGAGAGTGAGAGAGAGAGAGAGAGAGACAAAGAGCATGTGGAGAGACAGTAGCAGCAGCAAGAGCAGCAGCAGTAGCAGGTCTGAGAACACGTGGATTAAAACCGCCCAAACCTACTCAACGGTGCTTGGATGTTCTTCTTGCGGACCCTCCGTTCGAACTCCACCAGGAGACCTGGGATGTGAACCCTTGTAGACATACCATGACATGTACTTAATATCCAGTCTCATAATATATACTTTCACATGGGTAAGTTCCAATTCCTTGGAGATATTTTTCAAATTTCCCCACAGGTCATGACCTCGCCGCGACCTCGCCTACCTCTTTCAGTGAGTTTGGCCCACCGAGGTGAAGATCGCGAGAGCAAGCGATAACCGAGGTGAAGATCACTTTTGTGCTGTTGTACGTCAAGGATTGGAAGTAGCATCCCAAAATGGATCGAGACTGCCAAGTGGCGCCAGCATGGGGATCATCAACGCGCGCAAGGTGAAGAGCCCTACCGGACCAGGTTGAGTCACGCAGCTCACCTGCGACCGGCGTCTCGGCTCAAGTCAACAGAACATGTCCACTACACATACCAACTTTGGATACAGTACATGCCAAATGCCTCCTATATTATGTATAAGTGATTATGAGTTTAGTTGTATCTTGATTTTGCTACTGTACATATTGTGATAATATAGTATTTCATTTTGGCTGTATTGTTTGTCCTGTCACCCCCTGTGCATTCCCCAACATGGTGTCCACTTCCATGGAGCACTTGGGAGGCAAACTCGGTGTAGCATGCGGTCTTGGAGAAGGCCACAGGTCGAGAACACAGGTCTTCCTGTCTCTTCTCGCTCGACAGGGGATGTTTCGGATGTGTGGCCCTGAAAAAGAGTTGAGATCGCTGCTTGGGTTTCATCGCAAGACGTGTGACAAACTGTGACACTGCCCTTGGATCACCCACATACCCACCTATACAGCCACCTACAGCGTCACCTACAGCATCACGTACGCCGCAATCAAGCGGCTGAAAACATCGCCACGTCGAAGCTCAAGACTTGCACGGAAACCAACACACTCTCAAAGGGCTCACGCCAACCCTCAGCGGGTGCCGGGTGCGGGCTGCGAGCATGGAGCTGCTGAGCTCGGTGGTCGTCTCAGATGAGATCCATCTGATGGGTCCGACGGTCCTCGCTGTCCTAAATGAGAGGTTGGCCGTAAACCAGCTGCATCCGAATGTAGCGCTAACAGACATCGATCAAACAACTGATCAAAATATATTGTCGTAAAACTTTGGGTATACTTTGTTTGGGTACCATTTGGTCCGCTTGGTGCTGTCGTTCAGTCTACTTCTTGCTTGGCGCATGGACACCCGCCCGCGTCATCAACTCCGCGCATGAACTCCCGCTGGTGCCGTCCAGGTGTCAATGCCAAAGCGTTTCACTACCGTGAGCATCTGCACAATGCTGATTAACTGTTGGCATCCAGCAGCCACCACCTAAAGGGTTTGACATCTTCCGGGGCGAGCACCGATGGTAAGACATTCGTGGACGACGGAAAGCTACGCTACACCACTCCTGAGTTTCCATATATCATCAGCGTATACACTGTATACTGTAGTGAGCAAAAAACACAATGGACAAATGAAATAGACATTAATAATAAAGCCTCCTATATCCTCCTATTGATTCCTATTGTATTGGAAATCGTTTGTATCTTTTGGGGATTTTTGGGGACCCTCCTAATAATTAAGTAACTCCAGGCCACCAAACTGGAAGTGCTCTGTTTCCTTGGCTCCGGCTTGACGGGTACCGGCAGGAGACTTGGCTGGTCTGGATCGACAGCAAAACAGTTCCAACTCGTGGATTCCGAATTCACTGGCCCAAGAACATGATTGGTTTTGCAAAACGCTTGGTTGGTTTGATACTGGTCCAGTGGTTCTCCTCTTCGCTGGATAGGATCCCGGTCTTCCGGTTGGTCCGAAGAAGTCCCGCTGGTTCCGCCTCCCAAAAAGAGTCGGTGACAAAGCAAGACTTTCGGCTCTGGTGTTTTGGCATCAAGACATGGAATTCCTAAGCTTTTCTACAACACACCGAAGTACTGCAAGATCTGCATGGGCAGGTCTGTTTGCTTTGGCCTCAGCCAAGACTTGACCAGTTGAATGAGGGTGTCTGATCCAGGTTCTCAGCCTTCGGTCACAACAGGGTTCTGGCCGCTCTGCTTGGAAACCAACATGAGATCCCTGTCGGATCCTGTCGGAACCAAGCAAAGAACATGCGTTCTTGGACTGTCCACACGTCTTCCGGTTGAGTCTTGGAGAAGAACCTTGCTCGTGCATCGTTTCGAGCCGCCTTGGTCTCATCCAAGGCTCCACTTGGTCTCATTTAGCATCACCAAATACAACGCCGCCACAGCACCTCGATGGTCATGGGAGGAACACGGTCGAAGGGCCAAGAAAAACCCTCATGAGGCTCCCAAGGCCGAAATCAACACGATGCTAGTAACAAGGGCATTGCTACTAGTAGCAAGAAGCTACTAGTAACAAGGGCATTACTACTAGCATCATGTATAGTATAGAATCTTCACCGACATGATAGTCTATTGGGGCATGTTCTGGGGGTCCCGGGTCCACATGGCAAAAGGAAAAAGAGCTGCCACGGGCCCTCCACTGCTGCCGCCGGCACCAACGATCACAACCACCACCATGCTGAAGAACACATGGTCGCCATCTCCGCAGACTTCACAGACCATGTCATTCCCTTCGCGGAATCCCTCCTGGTGTCCCACACTGAAGTGAACAACGTCCTCAACGCTTAGGGCAAAAATACCTGTTCCCAAATCGCAAAATCCCAAAGAGAAAATCCAAAAGTGCCTCTCCAAAATCCCAAAGAGAAACTTTAACAACATGGTCACTGCAAAGCGATTTTGCCACCCCTTGGGCCCCTTGCACTTCCTCCATGTCATGCTGGTATGCCCACTTTCACCAGAGGCCCATCTAGTTTCCTCAGAATAGAGGTTAGCTTTGTTTCCATGATATTGAGCAGCAGGGAAACCAATCACAAAACACAAACATACCAAAATTGGTCATACGAAAGTATTGAATGTATCGTGGGTAGGATGGACTTAGCATTATCTTGGAGAACCAATCTATTGTTGGATGTTGTGTTCTTTGCTGCCACTTAAATTGGTTAGTGTAGTTAGTTGCCATCTGAAAAAATATTGCTCACCAAAACCACCCTTACCCAAAACTGACATGGACTCTGAAAAGAAATCCCTTGCTTTGACAATGCTACTCTATACCTTTTTTGGGGGGGGCTTGTGACCATCCTCTCAAAGTAGAAGGTTGCAACCGTCTAAAGTTTCTCCATGCAAAACATCGCTTAATAAAGTTAGTAAACATTAAAAAACACAAACAATAAAACAACCACACAACCTCTGCTGTCCTTGCAATCAGCGCAGGCCACCGATGAAGCATCGCGGCCTGCAGCACAACTGCCTGGAGGCCCACCTGGCGAAGGACCGTCCGGAAGGAAGCGGAATGAACACATCTCTATTTGGAGACCATCGCTTCTAGGTTGGAGGCCATTGCTAGTGGAAAGAAACAAAGAACTGATCTCAGAAACCACCCCAAAAACATTGAAAGACATCCTCACCCTTATTTGGGCTGCCAAAAAAACCATCAAAGCAAGACACGCACCTCCTTCTACTTCCAAAAAAGCAGGTTCCACCAACACCCGGCAGCCTGGGCAAATCCGCTCATCGGAGCATTTGTAGACATCGCCAGGCAGTTCTTCCTTTGAGAAGTACCCAGGCAACCTTCGGGTGGAGGCCCGGTGGCGATGTACGCGCTCGGTTCGATGCACTCCACGTGGCCGCTGGTGGACAGCCAAACGGTCTGGTCTGGCGGAGCTTCGGCCTACCGGTAGAACATTGGAAGTTCTGGGATGTCCGGCGACTCATTTGTTGCTAGCTGCCATGGGTCGTTTCCCTTCAAGCCCACATCAGTCCCCGTTCTGCCCATTTCATGCGACCTGCGATCATCTGCGATCCATGAACCACGCTTCCCATGTGCCGAGGGACAATTCCAAGCGGTCGGTGCCCAAACAGCTGGCACCCTCCATGCAGACCTGCGCAGCAAAGCGCACGCCACCCCTTCCATTGTTCTAATCGCCGAAGGAGGCACATCCAGGTCCGAAGGTACAAGTTAAGGAGGCCTCATAAGGGGGTAGTGTGTATGTGTCTATCGCAGGAGGCTGGAGCTGGAGGTGGGGAGCCCCGGCAAACGGACATCCGGGTGATTCCCGTGCTGTTCAAACACTGTTTCTCCAACTGTTCACCTTTCTGCAGCCAAGGGCTATCGCAAAATGGTACAGTGCAGCCGAGGCGGCGGATTCCATTACAGTTCGCTTGTGCACTGGGTTTCCGAATAGCTTCTGCTACTAGCAGCTTCTTGTTCCTAGTAGTGGCAACCTACTTGCGATGGCCTCCAGCTAGTGGCTTCTAGCTACTGCACTTCGCTCGTATGAGTTTGCTTCCAAGTGTGTGCGTGTGTTGGACCCTGAACTGTGCATGGCATAGTGGCCTCCCGTTCTGGTCCTGATTAGTACAGTATAGTTGGTATCTACCAAGAACTCCAAGAGAATTCAAACATTTAGATGCACGTTGTTTAACAGTCTTGGGTTTCTATATGGATCCATAGGTCTACACAGGCCTAACCGATGCGGTCGTTGTGTGGGCCACTTCGTGCCAACCTTTCAGACTCAACGGTCGATCGCATCTGGTCCTCATCGATTGGCATTTCATATACTCCAAAAAGGCCGTAGAGTTTTCTCTCCTGCGTAAGTCCTGCTGTCGATGAACTTCATGCCTAATTAAGGATACTTTAAGATCGTCCTATAGATGCTTGTCCAAGAATTGTCCGACAGGGGGTTCACTTCTCTGGTTGGAGGCCATCGCCATTAGGTTGGAGGCCATCGCTTCTAGGTTAGCCTCTAACCTAAAAGCGATGGCCTCCAACCTAATTACCAATGGCCTCCAATGCCTCCAACCTAATTGGAATGGCCTCCAACCTAAGAGCGATGGCCTCCAACCAGGGTGTTGGTGCTTTTGGTGCTGACTTGCACCGGATTTGCTCATCACCTGCAGTTATCCACCGATTGAAGTACATCTTTCACCGGCCTCGCAACGGTCTTCCCACAAGAAGCTGCCGCTGTCACAGTGGCAGTAGGACTCGGAAATCGCACCCTGCAGCTTGATCGACACCTTGGATGGGGCTACCCAATGGACAGTATATATAGACAGTATAGAACAACATCATTGGTATAGACATGTATAGACAGCTTTGCTTTGACAGTTTTCCAACAGATGCAGAAAACTGTAAAGCGTTTTGTTGGTAGAGACAGTCTTGACATGAACGATAGAGTGTAGACGTTTGCGACTGAGGATGCAGGAGCTGGGCCGGCTACAATAATACCAAACAACGAGACATCGCGTGAAAACCGTGCCACCTGAGACCGACAGACCCATTGAGATCCAGTCTCTCCGTCCGGGCCACGCTCTTCCCTTCTATGTCAACCTCTTGGCTGGTGGTCCATAAGTTCTCCTGGCCACTGCCCGCACCACACCTCAGCCGGCTCTGTCTGTACCAACGGCCTAAGGGTTCAGATGGAGGAACCATTTTGTAAGAGGACATGTGTGCAAACAAAGCTCTTGTCTGGCTTCATAGGATGGTGGGGCTACAGCCCCTAAATCTCTACAAAATTGACTCATCTGAATGTGCACATCTCGAAGCATGATCATTGCCTATAAAATCAACTTGCCGGATGGCTGGGCAAGGCCACACGATACGTTCGACCAAATATATATTAAATAACTGATTCCATTCGATTCCCGCCACTTCGTATAGAGGACATTGTGAGCATCTATTATGTGAACATATGTGAACGCATGGGATAGATCTTGAAGCTTTTGACCTATAAGAAGAAAGGATGTTTGAATATAGAGAACTTCTCTTTGACTCTTTTCCCACAACGGGTTTGTGGAAAAACTTTCGTAAGAAGAACATCGCGGCCAGGCATGCAACTTCGATAATCGGAGCTCTGGACAATCCAGGGTCCATCAGATCAATGAAAGATCAATTATCGAAGCACACCAAAGCTATGTGTCTGCAACAAAAATGCAAAAAAGGCTCTACAAACTGCATTTCTCACAGGCACTGTTTTAGTCATCACCTGACCGAATGACCTCTTGCGCCTGTTTGGCCTGAATTGCTCAGAATGAACCACCTTTCTTTTATAAACAAAATGCTAAAGAAAGGGTTTTGACATAAAATGAGAGCTAACGATCCCAAGGTCACCCATGTGGGTTGGGCAGATTTTAAGGGGGATGTTCAGACCCGGGAGACAGAGGGCTTGTTCTCCCGGGCTAGTAAGATGATAATCCCCACAGCTCTAGTTGCGGAAAACAGGCTAAAAGCAACTCATACAGGGGAGCTCTTTGTAGTGGTGCAGCGTGCCGCCGTTGACCGCACTGAGCTAACAGGACGACCAAGGGGTTCTCACTCCTTTGAAAAGGGCCCGTTTGCTCATCGTATAGGGTTTCTCCGGCTGTCTCCAGTTCTCTCCGGCTGTCTAGCTGACTAAGCACTTTCCGAGCCTAGCTAGACAAGGTTTCTCTTTGGTTCTGTCGGGTCTACACTGGGAAACAAAATCAGGTGTCACGCCAAACTGACCCAGCTCAGATGTTCTTTGAAGCCCCGCTCAAGATCTTCCATCCCGAGGATCCCACACTGCCCGCAAGATCTCAAAAGTCATCCCTCGTAGCGTGCTCATTTCTGCGGGAAAGGCGCCTGTAGCAGAAGCTCATCCCAGTGCGGTTGGCAAATTCACCAAGCCGGCACTGATCGCATTGAATGGCACCTTCTCCGACGGCCATGGTGCCAAGCTCGCACAGCTTGCCTGCAGAGTTCAACAATGGGGCGTTGAATAGACACTCTTTACCACCAATTGTCAACCCTTGGGGTCTCCTGGTATACATTACCCTGATGACCCATCAAGGATTTTTGACAAGTTGAGAGGTGTGTATATATTGTAACTTATAGTTTTTATTACATATGTATAGTACATATGTCTACTACACCCCTAGGAACTACCTCAAACCGTGCCAGTCCAGCTTTGATTGTGCAGTCCTTTCCACACGCGTCAGCGACGCAATAAACAAAATGATGGTACAACCGTCTATTCAATTGCAGTATACTTCCTCCCAATGTTGAATCACATGTGCATTATCCTTTGTCAAACTCATTGACCTAAACTTTCACTTGGAAAACTCAAGTGAAATAGCAAAAAACTCAAGTGAAATAGCGATAAACATATTCTGGATTTCCTTTCTTTGGACACATTTTAGTAGAAATTATATACATACGTATATATATATATAATTTGCAATAGATTGCAACATGTTCAAGGATTTGTTGATATTTGTTCTTGTTTGACGGAAAAATATTCTTCCGCTATGTTGAAATCTCAGAGTGAAGTCATCTACCTCAAACATATTGTGGCCAGTCCAAACAAACACATGTTTCACCGTGTTCGTGTTTGGTGGCAAATGCAGAATTGTTTCTTAAAAATTATTGAGGCCACCGCCACTTCACTTTATGATTGATTTCTTCATCAATCATTGAAGAGCTCCCGCATATGGGCATTTTTTGTTATATAAGTGTTGTAATGAATCTGCTTGTCCAAAAAGGATTTTTTGATCAAGACCCTTGCCACAATAAGAATATGTTCCGAAGTGTGGTTCTCACACATTTGTGGGCAGTATGTAGTGCAATGAAACTTCCATACCATCACAGTAAGTTTGTCATTTCTTATACAACCAAAACTACTTAAACACTGTGCTTCACTTCGTTGATGTACATAGCTTCCGGTAACTGATTTTGTATGTAGAAATGCTATATAAATTATATGTTATATACTGAACCACCGTTTAGCAAAAAGACCTACAGTAACATGTGTAGAGAAGTTACACAAGCATAGGCCCCAAACAGCTTCAAACCGAATCGTTGGGACCAATATTCGTCAAAAACAATTTCTTGGTGCATCCTACCTTCTCCCCCAAGAGCAAATAGCTTAATTCATTATTGCTGTCGGCATCGACATCGCTGAGTGTTCGGCCACAAGAGAAGACAACAGAAGAGCAGGACAAGAGGAGGACAACACCCGGTCACAGAGCCCGGCCACAGAGTTCAGGGCCGCGGCCAGTCAGTGTGTCCAGGGCTGGTCAGTGCGGCCAGAGGACAAGAGAAGGACAACAGCAGGACATGAGAAGGACAACACGCGGACAAGACCCGGCTACAGAGCCCGGCCACAGAGCGCGGCCACAAAGCCCGGCCAAAGAGTTCAGGGCGCGGCCAGTCAGTGTGGCCAGCTCTTGCTTTCTAAGATAGAACCCCAACAGTAAACTGTTTGGGGAACAGTAAGTCAGGGGCGCGGCCAAGAGAAGGACAAGAGGAGCACAAGAGGAGGACAAGACCCGGACACAGAGCCAGGCCACAGAGCCCAGCCACATAGTTCAGGTGCGCGGCCAGTGAGAGTTAACTGTTTGGGGAACAATGCACATCATCAACAAACGATAACTCAAATAAACCAATCTCAAATAGATTCAAGAACAAGTAAGCTCCAATAAAAGAACGCAAGCGACTGTAGAACGGTAGATTTTAAAAATGTCTCTGAGACTCTGGATCTGGGAATGAAAAAAGCTTTCCATCAAACGAAATTTGGAGTTGAGAAAGGTAAACCAGCATTTAAAAGCCATGAAACCTGAAAATGCATACCCGCACAAAAGCATTTTTTACGGAATGCTGTGTTAGGGGGCATACGGGGACATGATGATTTTGATGGGGATTTGAGAGAGCAAGCTCTTCAATTGGCGGAGTTGTGTTGTGACGACTGCCATCTGTAAGCATATCGTACGTAAGTTTGGCGTCTTCCGTTTCCAGAGACTTCTCCACACGCTGCGTTTGGATGCGTTTGGCGTCTTTTTCGCGTTGACCGCGTTTTGCAGGCAAATACCAACAAATACCAACAGCATTTGTGCAGCGATACCGGGGTGGTCTAGAACGACAGGCTTCTGTTTGCAAGAACGATTTTGGCAGGTTCTTGGGTGGGAAGCATTATCAATTTATGATTACGATATGCACGTGTCTATGTATTCATTCATGAGATATTGTATTTAAAAACTATATCCTATACTATATGGTTTATCAACATGCCTTCTCACGGAATCGCAATTCTTCGTGAAAAACAGCGTTACTTTCGTGAATCTTTCGCGAACTCCATGTTTAACCTTCGCAGGGCGTATGCGAAAGTCGAAGATAGAAGTAGAAGTCGAATTAACTCCAAATTTAAGCTTATTTTGCGGAGTCTTGTTGGCTTGGTTGTTCCGAAATAGCAATCGTTCGCAACAAAACAATCGGATTTACCAAATCAAACACAATTTCGCGAAGAACACATAAAGAAGAGGCTCTCAATGAACCTATGCCTTATGTCGACCTTTGGATCACCATATCTCCCCGGGCTCGCCCGATGCGAATCGGAAACCTCTGGACCCGGCGAACAGCACGCTGGCACCAGGTCCAACTCAGTCTTTCTCTAACCGTCAAGGCAACTTAAACAGTTCCTTGCTCCACAGCATAATAGTTCTCACTCTCGCTCTCCCCACTGGAGGAAAACTCACATCGCTCAACCGAGGTGCATTCAGACATGCCAAAGGTTCCCTGATAGCTGCCTGGAGTGCATTTGGTGCACAACCTGGAGTCACTAGACTTCGTCGAAGCTCGCCCTGCTGGGCAAATGGCGCAATCCACCGCATCCTTGGGATTTGCACTCATGGGTGGTTCACCCCAGTTTGGACGGAAAATAATCTAATCACCAAATCGGCAAAACCCCGCGTATGTTTCCTCAATGTGTGGATTGACCAGGTTGGGGGATGTGACGCCATCACTCCATTCCAGCCAGGCAGCAGCGTGGGATGTGACGAACTCCCCTTGCGAGTTCACCATGCCCCTGCCGATGGAACACTTTGTCTTGTCGGGCACCCACTCCTCCCAAACGTGCTGATTGGCTTTCAGCCAGGTGCAAGCAGCTGCATAATAGTCGTAATCATTCTCAACGGAAAGAACGAGCAAGTCATTGACGTTGCCTGCGTTCGCTAAACTTGAGACATCAAATTAAACAGCCGTTCAGCCCATCTGAGGGCAGGGGTGACGCACCCCGTTCACAATTGCAAGCAAATTGGCAAGTAGATCACACTCAAGCGATAGCACACACACAATCCAAAAAACATGATATCAAAATATAGTAATATATAATATATAATATATGAAAACAACAAATATATATATATATATACATAAAATGAAATAAAATACAATATATGAAATATAATATAATATATGAAATATGAAATATCAGAAAGTTCCTGTCAATCATATGTCCTACCTAGATCAGATCTTGCCGTATTTTGCCATTGCGTGCTGCGTGATGCCACATAAAACGCCATCGACCTCTGACTTGTGTGACTGCCCAGCGGCTGTCCGAGAGCCGTAAGGCTCGGGCGAGGCCCCAGGCGCGATCCGCCGCCGTCTCCAGGATCGGAGACGTACCAGTGGTGAGCATGGACTGCTTCTGGGGACCAGGAGGCTTTCAGCGACCGAAGGGAGCTGTTGGACGTTGAAAGAAGCTGAGTTGGGGGTAACCATGGTCGATGTCTATAAGTATAATATGCAGACTGGGATTTGATAGGGGGGTCGGAGTCGATAGAAGGAAGCTTGGAAGAGAAACTTACGAGTTGCGGAATGTTGGAAGCCTCATCACTCACCGCTAGCATATCGTGAAAGTACGTGGGAACAAAGGTTATGTTATTATGTAACATGTATGCTTTGTGGACTATTCTGCAGGTGATGCCCGGTGTGCAGGTTGAAGGTGTCCTCTTGGGCTAGGAACAAGGCACCTTACTCGCCTTACTACTAGTTACTAGTAGCTACCAGTAGAAACTACTTGAAAATGGCCACGGTGGACTTCATTTCATTATGAAATGGCAACACCACCCCAACCCATTCCGGGGACACGTCCATCTCTACCCAGTGCATGAATCTGGGACTGTTTCAAGGGCTTTCATCACGTGTCTATAAAGCAGTCGTGCCAGCGACTGCTCCCCCATCAGCACCCCAACGATCCCAGCATGTACTTGAAACCCAAGCTTCCATTGATGATCTCAGAATTCCCTGCTTTTGCTCTGAGGGGTTCCATGGTGGCATTTCCACCAACACCGCATCATACTCCACGAAGGTGGAGTCCGGAGTCCACCAAAAAAGAAACGACTGATGTTGCACCTGGGCGACCCGCCGGGAAACCATCGTCGACCGCCTCGACAACCGGGCGAACAGCTGCCGGGCGAGTTCTGCGGAGAACGGGATCTGCGGTGAACAAGGGCCGGGCATGAACTAGTTCGACATGTCACTCCTGGTGACCAAACTCCAACCAACAATACCTCAAGGCCTTAAGGGATGATTCGGGGCTCAGGTGGGAACTACAGTGGGTTCCTCGATCCCCAACAATTCAAAGAGTCCGGGTTTCTCTAAGCCAGCGACGTTGAGCTCCACATATTCGGGAAACTCCAATGCACTGGCAATGGCCAAAGGCATGTGGTGGAAGAACGCCTGCTGCGAGATTTCTCGATTGCCCCATCCCCGAAGGGTAATCACAGCAATGCAGCTGCTCGGGTTATTTCGGCAAGCAGGAGCTACCCACCACTTCTCTTGCCAGCATTTGTATACGATCCTCAGATGCTCAAGGCAAATCTGACTAGAAAACTACTAAATGGTTCGAATCTCTGCAACATTTCCAGGGTCAAAGCTTCCAAATCAAGGTGCGGTCCCTTTCGGCTAGGCTATTTGCAGCTCTCCTGAGGATCCTCCTGTGGCCTCGTAGATCCTCGTAATAAAATGAGAAAGTCTGCAACATTTCCAGGGTTAAAGCTTCCAAGTAGTCCCTTTCGGCTATTTAGCCCTCCTGTGGCCTCACAAGGAACAAACGTCGCCAACTTTCTACCGTTGAGCGGGGTCCCTTGGGAAGGTTGGATGGTAATTATGTCAGAATGGTCTACGAAGCGCAGTCTGATTCACTCACCCTTCGCCTTGAACCCTGCGACCAAAAACATTGATGTGCCTAAACAAATTGTCTCGCCTGCTTTTGGGGTTCTTTTCCTGTTGAAGCTTTTGGTTTGACCGCGATGCCATGACGTCCGTGCACCCAACGTGGCGTGCTTCCTGGCCTCACTCTAGGCAGAACAAGGCCAGCATAGCCCGCTTGGTAGTGTATTCCTCACCCTCCGGAACATCTGTCTCACAGGTGCTCTTTTCTACTTCCTGCTTCGTCTTCGAGAGTCAATTTGGATGGATACTATAAAATTGCCCAACCCAACATCAAGTTGTGTCTGAGTCGCGCACCATTGCGTGTCTCTACACCATCGGCATCACCCGTCGCTTCGATATAGTTCTGCGCGCCAGGGGGGTTGGCTTCCTCGGGCGTGTCGGACGTTCGGGGTCCGAAGAACCACGCCCGCGCCTCGTCCAACGGAAACGCAAAAGTCCATGCATTCGTTGAGGCATCTCACCAATGGATTGGGGTCGCCTTCTAGGGGGTTGAACAGGGACTGGGAGGTCTCCCTAATCCAATACACACCATATATATGTTTGTTTCTCGTCAGGGTTTTTGAGGATTTTTGGGTACCTCTGATTTTTGGGTCCCCTATGATCCCCTATAGTCCTCTGGTCGTCTCATAGCCAAGGTCCGGAAGGTTCGTCTCATGTTTTGTGACGGTGAGGGATTTCTCCCACCCACATCTCCAAAGGTGAGCAAACCATGGCAAACTATGGCGCATCCCATTGATGGCCAGTCCAATTCATACGTCAACTGACGGTAAAACCTCTTGATTGTAGGAGTAACCAGCTTGTACATTGATGTCCATGTTTTCCAATACCACAAGTTACTCCAGCGGAAACCTCAAAGTCGCACAATTCAGATGCAGAAAACAGAACTCTCAAAGCTCAAGCATTCGGGGGTTTAGAATCACACGATATGAGGGATTCTGGGATGAAGCTACCCTCCCCCTCTGTTTCAATGACAGACCTATGCATGCCTATATGACTCATGACACAAGGGCAGTTGAACGCCTGGAAAAAGGAACTCGAGATACATCTAGACGACCTCGCTACAAAAACCAAGACATCGAGTCGCATTGAGTCTCCAACATGGGTTGCTGAGAATTCGCTTACTTCTTGCTTGCACTTTTTCAGCTTGGCACTTCCAACCAACCAGGGGGTCGCTTGCAAACGGGGAGCTGCACAGGTCAAGAGTTTGCTCATGTTCACCTCTGACACATGGGGCGCGTAGTCCGCCGGGTTGAACCATGAAACGTTAAAAAAGCCTCGGCAGAACGGTGTTATCCCGAGCTCAGAACTACCAACACCATCCACTTCCATGGTTCCGCGAGCTGGGTATGTCCCCAACATTGCCCGAGCATCTGATTGGGCCCTAGAAAGGCACCAAAAACATCCAAAGATCTTACGAGATTCCAGTTCGGCCTAATTAGCAAGTGGGAGGTGCTTTCGTGCACAAGAGAGTTGAACCATGTTGAACTCATGATCGCCCGATATGGCACACCTTGGACAGCGCATCTTTCGAGAGGGTCCCGCAACGAATAGCTTGTCGTCTATGCATGAACAATCTGTCAACTGCCGCCCCAGAGAGAACCTGCAGAAAAAACGTGATGTCTTGCTTTAAATCTTTACAGTGCAAGAAAAAGGAGATCTGTTGCTTTGCAGTGCGTCCTAGAACCTCTTCGACCAATGATGAAAAAATCAAGCAATGCCGTGTAGAAAGCCCCTGAACAGGGAAATCGTAGTTGCCCAAATGGACGGCACTTATGAATGTTGGAAAAGATCTGAAAGACATTACCCGCACCTTGGAAATGGCACCAACAATTGCCTTTTAAAGTCTTTGTCAATTCAGCAGGAACGGTTGGCATTAGCTTCCAGATGTTCACTCGCAGCATTTCACCAGGTGACCATAATAGGATAAGTGCAGCCCGGAGCGTTCCAGGGCATTCTGCCGGGTGCGGCCCATGACGAACATGCCCTCGACTCCGGAGAATCCCATGCTTCCTCGTCGGTTCGTCAACGGGGCCATCCAGGACTCTTTGAGATATATGTGTATACTTATATACATATACTAAGAAACACCTGTAGGGAGTACATGTGAGCACCCTTTTCCTGAAGAAATGCAGAAACGGCAACTATATATGCCAGAATTCCACAATGGGTTTGGAACATGATAAGTGTTCTAGTGATACTGGGGTCTTTGGACCTTCTATCAATTTCTAAGCTAGCTTTGGGGGAGAGTGCTTCCAGGTGAAGTGGCTTCGGTATCAGGTCACGTGGACGATCCGAGCAGCATGGTGGACCACCAGCTATAAATAGATTAGTTGTCACAGCCTTACCAATGTTGGGTTTGAACATGAGCGAACATCGGGAACCCTGCTGCCAACCCCTCTCCTGCGCTCCAACTCCCCAAAATTCAACAGATATATTAAATATGGAAATTTCCTTCCGGAGATGCGCCCAGGATGAAGTAAGACATTATGACATGCGCCCAAGTCGAGCAAAGAGTCCTGAAGTCTGGACAGCACGCTCGCTGCCCAAGAAGTCTGCCTTTGCGAGCCAGTCAGGATCTTGCCAGCCTGGTCACAGCAAAACGAATCCACATCGTTCCGCTTTGTTTTGGACCAGAACATCGAAACGATCCGTAATACAATCGTTAACAATATATTGATTATATACCTTCTTGCTGTAGAAGAATCCAGAGGTTTATAGAAGCCGATTGATTGAAGGGGATTTGGGATGAAGTCTTCAGAGCGAAGTCCATGAAAAGCGATTCTTAGTCATTCCCTCTGAGTTTGTGGCTTCTTCAGTGGCGACTTTCCAGATTCCAGACCAACTGATACATATATATATGTATATATCAAGTTGTGTCATCCTAAATCCTAGAGTCTGTGCAAAAAAGGCTGGCTGTTAAACAGCCCACCTTTCTGTGGAAAGTGGGGAAAAACAATGGAAAGTAGTCAACGCATCTGGTTAACAAACCAAAGTGGATAGAAAACAGAGTTCCCCGCACTTCCATGTTTGTTTGGGGGCGAATGATCTGGACTGACAGTGCACCCTGCGGTTCTGAAGCTGCCGCATCAAATAATGCCAACATGAATTACAGTACTTGCCTGGGCGATCCCTGCGATCAATAAGTTTCGTGACTAAACTAACTGCCCTATTTTCTTCGGCGGACGCCTTCCCGTTTCGTCCTCACTTCACACCCGTTGGATCGTCCAGTCTGCGCCACGGACTCTCCGAGGCGCCGGATTCCCACAACTCGAGGGCCACGTGGCGCTGAGGCGGCCCCGTGCAATTCACCGCGGGCATCACCTGATTTTGGCCGTGACGGACGCGACGGCTGTGCCACAAAGGGAGCGCAATCAAGGGAGCGCACCGTTCGTTTTTCGATGGCGTGGGAAGAAAGCATGAACATGAGCTGGTGTGCGCCCAAGCTCTCTCTTCACGCACTGCAAATGGCATTCCTAAAAGCAGGGCATCATCCCCTTTACATAAAAAAGGATCTCAGATGTGTAAAGACTGAAATGAACAATCACATGCAACATCATGCAAGAAGCTGCCTGTCAACAGAACTTCCAAGGAGCGTTATTGTGGATGAAAAACACCCAACAAATAAATGTATGTTATATCATACATGTTACATATGTATACATATGTGTCCAATCAGCTTCTTCACCTCAAACAGTGTCGCCCAAGCCCTGTGGCGCGGCCGGGGGGCCCCATCCACGCAGCCGGACAAATAGTGCAGCGAAGCCCAAGTTCCGAGCGAGAAGTACTGCACCGTGTTGTAGCCCAGAATCTCCGAAGACAAAATGGTATACATTTCTGAAATGACCTTGGGATTTTTGGAAAAAGAACCTGAAGGTGAAGAACAGAAAGCCAAGCACTACTACTGTAATGGCCGGGCACCCCATTGTGCTGCCAAACGCACGTCAGCAAACTACGGCCCACACCAAGCCCGGGTGCAGGTGCTCAATGAAAAAATATTCAACTCCAGGAAAAAACAGAATCAATTCGAAGGGGGGGGGAGGGGGGGTTGAATTGAGCAATCAATTATTCGACCCGGACTCGCCGACACTTGCTTCGCAAGACAAACTCAAGGTATCCCCTAAAGGGCTACCTTTCGTGACTAGAACCGCCTGGACTTCAGTACGGCGAATCGACCGTTCGCTAAGAGGTTTAGCAGGAGGGATGTCCTAGAAGTACGAGTTGATATGACTGGGCAAATGTGCAGGATGTCCATCAACCACAGAGGTCCCTCCCCTTCCCGGCACCTCGGCCGAGGCCCAATTTCCTTGGCTGCCATGTGAGAAGCACTTGAGCACATCCAATCTTTCTCACACCAACCAGCAGTGTCCAGGCCTGCAACCAGACACCCCAACAGCCTGTTGGCATCTGTTGGCCTACTCTTGCCAGTCCTTAAATGAAGGTCTGTTGGGGTTTAACATGGCTTAGCCGCTAGCCTTTCGAACACGTACTCCAAAAAGCGGTGAAAACCATATCAAATTCAGGGCTGAGAACACCACCCGCCCAAGTGCCAAGGCCACCGGTTTGTTCCGCCAGAATTTCCACCGGTCGCCAAGGCTCCAACGGACAAACCAATTGGCATTGAGATGCCGTTGATCGAGATATTCCTGACAGGACATGCTTCAAAAGGTCATCGGTGCGGCCATAAACATCTTATATATAGACCGCCTATCGCATAGCAGCCGAAGAGCTGCTGATTTCTCTATATCACCGGACATCCCTCTCTCCACTTACTAACTAATGTCTCTCCCTCCCTCTCGACGGCGTTTTCTGTGCCAGTCCGGCAGGGGCTCAAGGTGGGTACATGTGAATTCCAGTGTGAAGCTGACAGCTAACTACTTCCAGCTTTCATGTCCAATGCTTTTCGCCTGGAAGAGAACTCTTCAAAACCAGCCACGGCCCAGCTGATTCTATCCATGACTTCTTACCCTTTTAGAAAACATTGCCCAACAATGTTTCAATACATGACAGATAATATTGCGTGTGTATATATATATATATACCTGTATTATATTGTGTGCTATATATACAGTATTTAAAGCACCACCTGGAAACAGTCTTGTCCTCCAAATCATCTTTAAATGAGATTGAATTTCACAGGCGGGTAGGTGTTCGCAAATGTTTCGTTCTTTCAGTTCTTGGAGGCTCATGTCATGTTTCTCCTTCAAATCACTGGAATCAAGCACAGAACTTGACGTGCAAAAGAGCTGGGAATCTCTGCTAGGATGCCTGCCTGTCTTAGCTGTGGGGACTTAATCAGCTTCATTTGTCTTGTTGCTAACTCTTCATATGTCCAATGATTTTGCCGCCTTCTCAAGAGGCCTTTATCCTTCTTACTTAGCTCCTGAGTTGTTCAGCGAGAAGAGTAGGGAAACAGGAATTGCAAGAGCTGAGCGTAAGTTCCGCAAGCTGCTGAAGCAAGAGGAAGGGAATTGAACAGGAATAGAGCTTCGCAAGAAATTGCCAAGAGGAAGCCCTTGAATCTGAAGAATAGGAAGGACTTGTAACCCAGGACGGCCTAAATGTGAAGAGTGGAGCCAGTTAATTCAACACAGGAAAAGCTGAAAATTGAAAAGGATGGTGAGAAACTAAGTCGTAATGAAGCTGGCCAATCACAAAGGGCATGTAGCGGGCCAATCACAAAGGGTAGAGGACCTAACCTAAAGTGGATAAATTTATTGAAGCTTGCCAGGTAGGTATATTGTTTTTCCTGGACCGGATGGGGCTTGAAGCCACCAAAAAGTTAAAAGGCCAACGGGAGATGGGACAAGGCAATCTAGACAATCTAGCAGTGGAGTCAAGAATGCAAACACAAACTATATATTATATACAGTAGCATAAGCTTGAAACCTGTCAGCTTATATTGTGCTCCTTTTTTATTCTAGAAACCCAGGCATGAAGGTGCTACACAAAATCAACTCATCAAAAGTACCCTCTTGGGAACTACGGGTAGGGGGTTTGGTTTGGACTTACATTTAAATGTCATAACTCACCCTTGCTGGGCAGGGTGAACCACTATAAAGCGAATCCATCTGCAATCCCTACCACACAGAACATACAAAAAGATGCGCATCTAGGCCCATCTAAGTGCACTTCCACTCATATATAGCATAATATGCAAAACATGTCCTGGAAGAGGATTTGTTCGTACGTTTTCATTTTTACAGTACATAGAAGCGTGATTCTGCGTTCCTTTATCTGCAACCAATCACAATTGTCAGACTGTCACAATGTCCAAAAGAACAGTGCCAAATACAGAATCGGACAAAAATCAGAAAACATGAAAGAAATTAGCTGGAAAATAAAGCGGACTTAACTAGTTTCAGGGCTTAAACATAACAGTCATAATATATATTTTAGTATGAATGTCTTGCATTCTATCGCATGACCACATGTGTTCTAACATTGTATGGGATTTTGGACATTGAGGTCCTCATTTTATAGTGAGTGAGTCATTTTTCCCGAGGATTCACAAGTTATGAAAAAGAGACGATGATAGTGAAAAGGCCCTCCAGAACTGCCACCACCAGGGTGTGCAAAAACACTACAGTCCAAGTCCTACCAATGTCTTGACAAATTATGATCAGCACATTTACCAAAACAAACACCAAAGTCAATGCTTCCTTTCATCGTCTTGAAGCAGCCGGTCCAACAAACCCAAAGAATAATTACTAGTTTAGATGTCAACCCAGGCAAAGTGTTGCCTTCTTTGGGGCACTGCACAGTCTGAATCACAAGGTTTCCCTCCAATAATCCCAAAAATCCAAGCCCCCCCCATGAGTTGAAACTATGTTCTACAAAAGCAAACCCTATGCTGGATATTGTTGGATCGTTTTGGTAGGTGTTGCATTTTCTTGTTGTGGTAGTGGGGAGAAAGGGGAGCACCAATTCAATCTATGGTGGTCGTTTTTAGATCTTTTGATCGATCAAAAAAACATTCATCCGAATCTATTGGGCTGGCGTCACGACGATTCCAAAGTGTATTTAAATAACACACCAAAGTGACACCAAACGTTTGATCGTTTGAGCCGTTCTTCTTGATCGTTTGCATTGTGTTTGTGGTTGTCGTTTCAGGTGGTCCACAGAACGGCGTTGTGTTTCTAGCGTTGGTTTTTCAGTGTTTGGGAGACAACTCCTTTTCCGCATTCCTTGATCTCTTTTACTCGTTTCAGCGGAACACCCACAAGCGCCGAAAGCAAGACACCAACTCCATGTGGCATCTCAAAATTTCTTGACTGATTGGCATTCAAAAAGCGGTGAGCGTTTGAGGTTCCCTCAGGTACACATGAGGAGCACCGCTGGCTCTTCCTTCCCTTCCTCTATGTCCAGTCGAGTCTTCGCACGATCGTGGCTCGATGCCTTTCAACATCGGCGCCCGCGGCGTCGGGCCGTTCCAAAGTGAAGGATTATTCCAACCTAGTAGGTTCTTGTTACTAGTAGCATCTAGTAGCTACTTGCTCCTAGTAGTACGGCCAGGAGCCCCATTCGTAGCGTCCTTGCTCCTAGTAGCGATGCCAGGAGCCCCTAGTAGCTTCCAACACTGGACCACTGCCCTATCACGTCGCCCAGACTCTGTCTTTGATCTTCCGGGATGGCATTTGGCAGGCATGTGGAGCCCAACGCCACGCGCCAAAGCAGCGCGAGCTTCTTCATGTTCTCATGGGCCAACCTATCCGAAACAGAACACGTGGCAACACCAACTCGGTGGCCGGCGCAAGGTCACGTGATTGGGGTGCCGGTCACATTCAGTCGGGTTCTTCTTCTCCTATCGATAGAAACGCTACTAGGAACAAGTGCATCGCTAGTAGTAACAAGTGCCTTACTAGTAGTAACAATGTTTGCTATTAGAAACAATAAGCTAATAGCTTCTTGTTCCTACTAAGGCCAGGAGCCCGGTTCGTAGCGTCCTTTGCTCCTAGTAGCGATGCCAGGAGCCCTACTAGCGTCCTTGTTACTACTAGTAAGGCACTTGTTACTAGAAGCGATGCACTTGTTCCTAAGGTCACAGATCATTGTTGTAGATCAGCACTGTTGCAAAGAAGGATCCTGAACATCCCCCCCTTTGGTTTGCAGCGTGCACCCACAGTTGTACGACTCAAGATTAACAAATCGCGGCTGCCGTTGCTTTTGCGGCATGGGTATGCCAATACTTGAAGCCTTCACACCTCCTGGACAAAATCAAGTGAACTTTGCTCTCATTCATGTCTTCTGCTTGACAAGCTGTACCTCCCGTGATGTCGAGCTGATGTGCCTGCGACCTGGGACGGATTCAAAACAAGTGGCCCCGGGCGGCTTGGGCCGAAACCCTGGCGGTTCGAAGTGGTAGGGACGTCCCCTGACCAGCATTCTTGGACCATTGACTTCACCTGACAGCCAGTCATCTTCGAAGATCAGCGTGTTGATTGCTTTAGTGGATGCAAATATGGCCTTAAGGAACCCTTGTGTATAGTTCCATGTATGCTGCCACATGGGCAAAGCTTAGAGTTGCAATTTAGACGGTTTTGGAGAGCGAGAGTAGTGCCCACGAAGAGTAGTGCGCACGGAGATTCCGAGCTGAAAGAAACGGTCACCCAAGCGAGTCCAAGAGAGATCTATTTGATTCTATTTGCCTATATCAAGACATCTATTTTCTAGCTTTATCTTTCACTGCCGATTGGAGCTTTGCCCTGTATAGATCCAAGCATCACTGTGGTTGGACCCGCGAAACCCCAAAACCTCAGCCCCCGGCGGCGCCGCCCTACATCCTTCAGAGGTACCTGGACTCCTTGTCATTCGCCTGGTGCGTCAGAGACCTCAATGAACCGTCTCCGCTTGGCCGGTGGGCTTGCTGCGAGTGGATTGGACCATGGTGGACCACTAGTGAAGGTTAAAAACAAAAAATCGGATCCAATTCATCTCATGCTGCGGTGGGTGGAAGATGATGGAAGGCAGTTTTTGTTGGCTCAGGAAAGCTGATGTTACTGTTTGGTCACGAAGGGTCGGTGGGTGAAGACTGGATGGATCTCGCTTGTCGCCACGAGTCACCGCAAATCGCCATCGTTCGATCCCCAAACACCGCCAGTTGTGGGCGGGACACCTTTGTTGTCAGTGATCAATCTAGTAGGGTCCGATCGCTCCGTTCGTAGCGATGCCAGACTCAACAACGCACAGCAGAAACAATATATAAAAACTGATTAGGCCTAAAAATGCCTAACACGTGGCCTAACTAAATATACCTAGATTCTGGAACCCTAATGAGGGTTGCCTTTTGAGGTGCATTGTGGTCTTCTTCTCTCTGTGGAAGATATTGGTCGCACAGATTTGTAGCTCTTGGTATGGCCATGTATGGCCTAGGTCTAGGACCATATCAGGCTCAAGACGGTCAAAAGCTCGATTTCATGTGATTTTTGAAAGCTGAGAAATCACAGTCGTCGATGTTTTGCGACAACGCAACCTGGTGAACAAGAATGGATCGAATCTCTTACATATCCAGAACACGAACCAAAATTGCCACACATGCTCTTTTTGACATCCGCAACCCATGAGACACTCTACAGGCATGCGCACAAGTGAGGCGTTTAGATTGCCTTGAAGCCTGATTCTCCTCGTGGTCCCTTCCTTGCCAAGTTTAGAATGCACAACTTGATGGTTGCAGCTCAGCTCTTTTTGAGTCCAATCCCTCACAAATGCATGTTTGAGTCGTATGGCTGGGGCTCCAACATCCATCAGGCAACCTGCAAAGTTGACTGACAAAACCAGCGCACAGGACACCGACACAGCAAAGTGCATGGTGCTCATTTGGAGTATCCCACATCTTTACATGAGACTGCCGCTGCAAAAAGAAAGGGACCTGGGGCACAAGACCGGTGAAAAGCCAAGCAACCCGATGCTTTTTGGCACATTGAGCAGAAAGTCATACCTTTCCCCCCACCGTCTTCCCAAAAACGGAAACGCAAGTCTACTTGCAAATAAACACAAACAGTTTTAGATCGGATCGATTTCACAAAGGTAACTAGTAACAAGTGCCTTACTAATAGTAACAATAAGAATTTAATTAGAATTGTTGTTGACTGTGAAATCGCCCCCGATCACCCACAGATCCGAAAGACCTGAGAGCTCCAGGGTTTTCAACGATGCGAAGAGCTCCAGGGTCTCCTGGGAAAGAGAGTCCAGTCAATAAGAACACCAATCAATCAAGAAAACCGAAACTGTGGAAGCGTCCGAAACCAAGTCGATCGATCGAAGAATGGGTTCTTCTTTGAGAGGGTGTTCCTCTGCTCTCGGCACATGTCAGCACCAGTATTTGAAGATCGAAAATGACATCGCCCACATCTCCAACGCTGATGTCTGTTTCCTGCCACCAAACTGTCACAAGGTTTCTCGATTTTGTGTGCATTTGAGTCTAGATTGATCGTGGAGTACTTTGTGTTCATGCTTTCAATCAGCCGCACAGGACCCCCCTGGCTTTACCAAGTCGGGCATTTCACAGATCCCCATCACGTGCCATGAGCCTCTGGCGAGCCCTTCACCAAAGACCCTCGAGGACGTGGTCATTCTGTAAGCCTTGCTTGTGTCACTGGTCGAATCCCCAAAGAACTGTGGAGGATTGGAACGACTGACTGCCGGGAAGTTCGTGCTCCGAGCAGCAACATTGGATCCCTAGCTGTTGTATGCTCTTTGTGCTAACCTGCTCAGTTTTGCTTGAGCAAGTGTTAGATGCACAACTTGCACTCGGACACTCAGATTCCGGCGCACCGAGTCATACCGGCTGCTCAGCAAATGATCACCTACCAAGCAAAGGCTGATTAGGAGCCAAGGGGGGCCTCTTCGCAGATTCAAAAAGCACGTCACCTTATCGCAAATGCTGTTCCCTGTTTGGCCAACACAGCATCTGACAGCTGTGCTTCGCACACGGTTTCAATGCAGCTCTTTTGTCAGCTGTATCCCGCAGGCTTTCAGGAGACGCGGCTCCCAGCCAAGCAAATGTGCTATAGATCAGTGACAGGGACTAGGTATTTAATATGTATTCCCTGGTCTTTGCCAAAGGAATATGTTGAAATCAACGCGGCAGCCGGCTCACCTAAGGGTCCTGATACTAGTCGGAACCAACAGCTTGGAGGAAAAGAGCATGGAAGGTGAATCGTGTGCACACAGCTGGATTTCTTAAGAAACAAGTGGGGGTGCAAAACTACTACACTTCGAAGGTTGCTGGGGTAGAGATCAAATCCTGTATCTTCTTGACTTTGTTTTTTTTCGCACCCGGCGCGATAGCAAGCTTGCCGAGAAGGCTTGTCCTTAGAAGGAACCCTTCTTTAAACATCTTTAAACAAGGAAGAAATCGAGATTTCTCATCGTCTGCACTCACTCCGTACAGTGCAACTGCTGGTCCAGCAGAGACTCAATCTGCTTCTTCGGATTCTTCGTCTTCACTTGAAGTCTTGCATTCACGTTGGGTTTGCTTGAAGCTTCGATGGGATTTTTCCTCTGTCGTCTTCCTCAATCAGGGACGTTGACCCAGCCCTAGGTCCCAACAAAATCCCCAACCCAAAACAAAGCAAGACGATCCTTGGAATTACGTTCCAGCAACTAACCTACAACAAAAGTCCGGTCCACCTGTCCTGAATTTGCTTTCATCTTTGATCCTCTTCTTGAACTTCTCATCTGAGATGGACTTCAACTCTGCGTAGTGACTTTTCATGGCAGGGAGGTGCTTCAACCAGGGGATTCGCCGGTAGATCCAAATCATAACGTTGTTCATGAACCACATGGCCAACGTGAAAAGAACCTGGAACGAACAGGCCATGCGCCGGCGTGTTCGCGCTATCTGCAACGCTTTTGCACTGACAGGTAGTAACTACTTGGCCGCCACTTGGGCGTCAAACAATACGGAAACCACTTGAAAGCATCATTTTTTGGTCCAACCAGATGCGAAAACAATGCTGATGCATTTTGCAAATCTTAAATTGGCAACATGGGAGACTGGGGAGGAACGAACTCGACAGCAGTAGGTACCTTTTGGGAGCTCTTGACGGTTTTGAACCAGCTTGCCTGCAAGATCGCAAACTGCTTGAGGGCATAGAGCCAATCCCAGGATGCAAGTTCTCCGGAAAAGTTTACGAAAATCTTGATGCCGAACTTCCGAATGAAGGTGCGATGTTGGTCTGTTACACCCTCAAGATCCGATTCGGAGGCATAGTCGTTCATTTTGCGGAAGGTGTATGTGTATCGCTTCGTGAACCCTCTCCACTGTGGCGGCCAAACCTGGGCTTGCTGCGCGTTCTCGTATTTGATATCTATAGCTAACGAGACCCCCAGCAAGCGCTGGGAAAACATCGGCAATTTCAACTCATCATCTTCAATGGCTTCACTAGGTAACGGAAGGCGGGAGTCCAGCGAAATATTGGATGCGTTCATCACCAAGTCCAGTGACAAATAGTCAGCGAAGCGAGTGCTCCAACATTCAGACATGTTGCATGAGTCAAAATCGCTTGCCATGTCTTTCGATGCACAGCTGCCTTTGTCGGCACAGTGAAGTTGCATCTTCTTGCCCTTCACCATGACAAAGCCCGTTGAGAACGCGTTGGATGCTGGCTCATCCTTGGCAACCACATCGTGACGTATCTTCAGGAAGAAGCGCTCCACATCCTGAACCACATCCACTTGCAAACCCTGATTACGCCAAAGGCAACCCTCAGTGTCTGGGTTTGCACAGCGATCTTGCAAAGTAATCATGCGTGCTGTCATCACTAGTGGCTTACCCTCCTCTTCCAGCACCTCGTGAACATCGAATTGTCTACACTCAGCCGAGACTTCAGGGACACCATTTGGCCAGCGGGCTTGAATGAAAGAGGCATCTGAGAAGAAGTTTTGATGGATCTCATCCGTCATCTGGTCTAGTGCATCTCGTGTGCAGTAAGTGAGGTTCTTTGCGGACCGGGGTTCCTCGGCACAATCATAATCGTAGTCATAGCACCATGTCTCTGCACGAGCCCAGGGTGGTGCCAGTTGCAAAAACGAATTAGACATAGAAATTGGATTGAAGTCCCAGAGCTGCAAAGTACAATACAACCAAATGATTATAGCCACAAGGCCAAAGGCAAACACACCCAGGTAGCAAAGTTGTAATCGTGGTGCCTTGATCTTGGCCACTTGTGGCACGGTGTAGGTCTCTACATAGTCTTCCCACAGAACTTCCCACCATCGAGTGGATTTGTCTGTTTTGTCTGACTCTGAATCCACTGAATCTTGTTGGCTTATCGATTTTATCGATCTCGATAAATCTCTGCTGGCACATCGCGACATGGCGCGCTGAGAATTGTGTCTAGCCAGTCAATCCATGTTGGGAATCTCTTGGCATCCTGATGCATTTAGGTACAGCTCCGGTCAACGTGTGGTCAACCCGTGCTCATGACCATGAGAAGCGCCTGCTTGACATTTACAATGGCCAACCCCTGCGGAAGATTCGACAAACTCCCCGAGATCAAAACCCCGGAGGCTGGTCGAACAAAAAGGATTCGGTGGTGCCTGTGGTGGCCTAAAGAAGAAAAGAAGAAGAAGAAGAAACACTAAGAAGTATAGAATGACAAAATGCAAGTATATATATAGCTCTTTCATCATGTTCACTCCTTATCTACTGGATCTCCTGTGGGGGAACATGGCCGTCTTGATTGGCAGGTGCTTTACGTGCCCACCGACCCGTGCAGCGCCTGGAATCCAGCGCCAAGATCACATGCGAACGAGCCAACAGGTGTGCCAGGAAAACACACCGCACGAGCTCCAGTCGAAGGAAACATGAGAAGCACAGGAAGTTTGTGTAACATGTCATGATACTATGTGACGATGTAAATCCTTGCACCTGTCCTTTTCGCGCACCTTCGGGATGAAACATGATGAAACCGGAACCGTTGGCCGTTGGCAGTTTCAGTCTTAGGATAGCATGATGCACGTGTTGGGTAGTTGTGTGGCTTGCCAGACAGGCTGAACTGCTGCTTCGGATCAAGTGGTGCGAAAGAGAGAACCAAATGGACCGCTTCAAAGCCATGGATGAACCCCCAACGTGACTCATGGAAATGGTCGAACTCACCGCTGCCTCGATAGCAACAGGAGCGAATGGCAACAGGAGCTTGGCGTCAGAAGTTAGGCCACAGCCCAGACCCATTCCGAGGAGATAAATATAACTTTTTTTCAAACTTGGATGAGCGCAGGCCACTGTATTGCCATGGTGTTGACTCACGCTATCTGATGCAAAGCAATCTGTCGGGAATTTTAAAAGGCAAGCTGCAAATCGAGTGATCTTGCATGGGAACGCTTTGGCCCATTGTACAATCGGGTGGGAAATTATTGTCCCTCTGCCGCTGTCCACAAATTTGGCTCTCTTCTTCTGTTCTTTGTTCTGCGCGCTCACTTGCCTCCTCTCTTCTGGGCTTGGGCAGAGAGCTCCGTCATAGGATTTGAGGTTGTACTTCTGGATGCATGCTCTTCACACACATTGCTGCTACGGTCAGGAGCACAATTGGAATCTCGCAGCAAATTCAAAGCATCTGGAAGTCACTCGATATCACTCCCTTGCTTTGATGGTTCAAATGGATGCATCGTTCCAACCAATGGCGCCCAATCCCCTATGTCACTCTTGAGGCAGGCGAGTTTGTCCAGGAAGGGGCCAGATACCTCTGGGCTGCAACGAGATCGAATCTGCGCAAGCAGCTTGTCCAGAATCCTGAGACATACAGGTCTAAAGAAGAAAACAATGTAGGACGAGTAAGTCCAGCTTATCACTTAAACCATCTTAAACCGTACAGTGCCAAAAAACCATGTGCATCAGCTGAACCCAGAACAACTGGGGAAACAATACAACATAATACAACACTTCCTCTTTCTTCTCAGAAGTCGGCTGCCCAACGATGTTCAAGTCCATGTCATGTGCTGGAAGCGCTTCCAGCAACTCACACACAGATTCAAGAAGGTGCTCGACAAACCTCTCACATGAAGTTAAATAAAGGTGCCACATCTCCTGCTGTTTCTCCACTTCTTCTGTCTGCTCTTTGGTGTTGAAAATGGCAAGGTGAGAGTTCCAGTCTGGCTGGTCCTGCACGTGCACGTCCACAAAAAGCCCTACAGTGTCCAGAAGCATGTCCATCGTGCTCACATCGAGTTTTCCTTTGCTTTCACCAGCTATTGGAACAAATGACGCGACAACACACAAGTACCAGATTTGCACCACTAGGGGCACTTCCGGAGTCTTCGGATCTTGTTGCTTTAAACATGCGTTGCAAAAGCTTGCACGAGAAACCAGCACTTGCGCATCTTTGCCCTCAAGGAAGCGCAACAAAATATCCACAGAGACGTCGTAGACCAAGGCCAGAATAAGATCGGGGAAAAGCCTTCGAAAAAATCGTGACTGTGTGTCGTGCTTCTCGCAGCATTCGGCTCCTTACTAACGCCTCCGTGCGAAGTGCAAAAAGGCTTGCCAGAATGCCTCCCTGTACCTCAGTGGCTACTCCCCACAGGCTCCGTCTGGTGTCAAAAACGGGACTCCTGAAAACTGAGCCGGTTCACGACAAGAACACGTCAAAAGAAACAAAACAAACTCAATGCACTTAGGTCCACCGCATCAGTTCGCACGTTCTCCTCCACATATGCAGACGTTTGATCCACGATGCTCAGCCAGTCACGCTGAACGATCTTGAGACTGCACGAGGAGAGGTCTCTGTAGGCCCGCTCACCCAAGGCTTCAGCCTCCAAAAACTCCTCAATGTCACGACAACAGAAGTACAGCTTGGCTTTCACCTTCTCCAAGAGGCTCAAATCAGGAAACAAGCTCCTTAAGACCTCTGTGGAAGCTCCATTGCTCAAAAGGAGCTCACTGAACTTGTAGCGAAATCGAGCGGCGTTGGAGAGAAGCTGAGACTTCCCACGAGCAGAGGCTACCTGGGATAGGATCCCCCAATGATTTGTGCGCTGAATCTCAGCAACGACCTCTTTGTTGGCAGTGTCACGAGTCCAAAAGGGATGGGCTTCCAGTGCATATTTGGCACCGAACCCCAGCAATGCGATTCCCGCGACGGCGGCTCCAACAACGCCTCCGAGGAGTAGTGGACTTGCCTTGGATTCAACGAGGGCGGCGTCGGCCAAACCGGGGAAGAAACGTACTACTTGTGACACCCTGAACGCTGAACAGCAAAGCATTCCTGCTTGCGCAAGGCAAATCAAGGGCAAGTTGCTGTCAAACCCAATGAACCCAGGGCCGCGACACCGGCTTGCGTTGCGGCGAGTGGACCCATTGACAAAGCCGTGACCTGATTGTCACACTTTGACTGTAATCATCAAATTGATATTAATGAATTATATCCAACCAGTAGGAGGACCATGCACATGCGTTTCCAGCAAGAACTCAACCGATCTGACCTCCCAAGCGGGAAAACATACTTGCACAAAGCACAACTCGACAAGTGACTGTCAGCATTGCCACGGACTCCACTGGATACCTTCCTCGCAAATGATCAGTTCCAGGAGTCATCACTTCCTAGTTTGGACGCAGGGCGGGCAGCTGCTTAGATTGACCAGCAATGGGCCATGAGTGGTTGGGTCCCAACAATGGTGGTTTCCCTGCCTGGTCTGGTTGCCTACCAAACGTCTCCCAATTAAGTAGTTGCCGGTGTTGTTCCAAGTGTTTGGCAGTAACCTGACTAGTAGATGGTGAGAAAAATCTTGCTTTGGACGTTCTAGCAAGCAATCAATACATGGGCGAACACATTGGACAACCTGGTGCCAACACCCCCGAGCCCGAACAATTACCATTATTCTATAGTTTTCTGCGTCCTGTTTCGAACGGCTCGTGTATATTTGCTGTCTGGATCTCAGAGGCTTCTCCTGAGTGAACTCCAGTGCTACCAAGTCTCACTGTGACTTGTGGTGCCCCCCAGCCCGTGAAGCATCGAGCCCAGCTTCCTTCAGCAAACGCATGGCCACCTTGAAAGTCTTCTCTTGGGCACGCATCATTGCGCTGTCCAACCTGGAGTAGTTGCAGCCACAGCACGCAGGAAGAAACACATGGGTTTAGTTTTTCAGAAATGCAGCTCCAATGTTTCATCCTAGTCTGTTCCAATGTTCAGCCGAGTACCTAGTGGCAGTGTAACAACAAACCATCCGTGACGAAAACCAATGAAAACATGTTGCAGGGTACAGTAGCACTTGTGTGGCATATGCAAGCTGACACTCCAGTGTTACAAACATGTTGGGACGCAGTCTTAGCTTCTTGCACGAGGTGGGCAGTGCAACCGTGTGATATGTCCAAAAACCTGCAGCTAGTCGTGGATCTCATGCGTGCTGTGAGACGGAAGTTCGTGTTCTCTGAGTTCATCTTCCTGCCTTGTCTGCATCTCCGTTTCAATCTTTGGGACTAGCTTTGAGAGGAGCTTCTCAATGTATTTGTGCCGAATCCACTTGCCTGGGCCGCCCTCCTCATTCACCTCGTCACCTGGGGCACACACCGAGCAACCCGGAATATGGCAAGAACGTGCAATCATTTTCACTCGGATCAAGCGACAGGAACATGCAACAGTCAGCTAGATTTGCATCCGTGTCTCTTTCAGCTTGCTATTTTTGTGATACATCTTAAGTGGTGGGGTTGATGATGCTTGAGACCACAGGCCTGTTCTCTTGCAAAGCTCTTGCAGGATATCTGTGCGAACGGTCTCAATTTCCTGCCGAACTTCACGCTCCAAATCAGCCGCCGCATCTTCCACAGCTGCCTGCATCTCCTGAGCGTAGTAATCACTGGCAGCAACACTTCCTTGCAGGGTCGAGATCTTGCAATTGCTTGGCCGGGGTTGGCAAGGTGCCACATGCAAAACAGCACGCCGATACGGAACAATGCATAGTGGCCTAAAATGTCCTAACGTAAATGCGGCACCACTGTCACTATTTATAAGCATAATATATGATGAGTTTAGAAAAGGAGCTACAGGGCTATGCCGCAGCATGCTACGACCGCCAAGAGGCCAGGCTCTAATTCTTCGCTTTGCCCTGTCAGTGGTCAGTAAATGTCAGCAATTTATAGTTCCAACATGTTCCAGCTGCGGAGGAAGAAAAAAACAGCTGCAACTAAGGACACTACTAGTAGCTCCTGGCCTTACTACTAGGAACAAGAAGCTACTAGTAACAAAGGGCATCGCTACTAGGAGCAAGGACGCGCGCTGCCCCCCCAGTCAACAAATTTCTCGGCTTCTTGGCATGAGCGAACGAACCAAAACGAGTTAGCCTAGTTGAGAGCTGTACTTACTCCCTTGGTTCACAGTTTTTCGTCCGCCATGGCCCTATCTTGCCTAAGTTTCACATCGGTCCCTCTTGGACTTTGAAAGTTAGGGCCCGGGCTTGTTCAACCACCTCCTCTCCGTGGTTTCTTCCGTTTGTCCGCTCCTTGGGAGGAGTTCAACCGCTTCCGGTACTCGTCCGTGAGCTCTGCCATTCGGTGCATGGCGGTCCGCGACTGGCTGCCGAGCACCATTTGCTCTTGCTGTTGAAGCATGAAGATTTCCTCGCCAAAACACTGAAAGATCCCACACTGAAGCATGAAGGTTGGAAAGGGAACTGCTTAAGATCTGATTCCCTGAATGCCTGGCCATCCCAAATGGTTGAAAGAAGGTGCTCCGCAAAATGGCTTAATTGGCGGCTAGCCGGTTAACTTTGGAAGGCCTTAGGGCCTTGGGGGAGATCTCATGCTTGTTACACACGGTGGGGCCAGAATGTCAAGGTGAATGGTTTTTTTCATCCCACGTAGCTGCGCATGTGCCCTGCTGCTCTGCTGGTTGTTTGCAATTCCTCAGTTTGTTCCAACATCATGGACCGTGTGCTATATTTTGCCTGAAGCACCCCTAGCTTGTCGTGGACATTAAATACCAACATGATCACGTGCTGCTCATTGATCAGCAAATCCGTCCTTCACGTAGTTTTGGATGTCTCTAAGCCAGCTCTGGGCCTCATCCAAGGGCAAATGCTTTTGGAGAACTTCATTGGCCTCGTCATCTGGATCTTGGAGTAGCCCACCAGCATGCACAAAGACGCGCGCCAAGGAGCTCCCAATCTCGCGCCGGAACTGGCTCACCAAACCATCGGCTGCTTGCCGTTTGGTCATGCCCTTGAATTTCTTTCCGGGCTTCAAGGTCATTGCCAAATCATAGCGTGTGAGAACCCAGAAGGTCTTGCTGTAGGAGTTGAGTTCCAGCATCTTTTGTGTGCGTTCTGGCACCGCTGTACCTTCAGTCAAAGGGCACACCATGCACGCAATGTGCGAATGGTCTTGCAGAAACCTCTGCACAAGTCTTCGATATTCCTCGCTTTCAGTAAACCCAGGAGTGTCGACCAGGCTGTAATGGCAACCAAATGGGTTGAATACGTCCAAGGGAACTTGGATGCAAATCTCTCCATGTCCCGAAGGATTGGCCTCCCTTGCAAACTTCTCCTCCAAGAAGTGAGCCATGTCAGTCCGTAGCACTTCTGGGTGTAGGTCGTCCAAAAGCCACTCTTTCTGCAGTACGTCATTCCAAAATACACACCCACGTCGTTCCGGGCTCGACTCGACCTTCCAAATGCAGTTGGTAGCAGCCTTGTTATCCACCGGAAGCAGCATCTCAAAGTTGGGCAAGGAGGAGGAAAGGAGCAGGTTGATGAGGGAGCTTTTCCCTGCCTTCAAAGGCCCAATGAAAATAATTCTCAGCTTCTCTTTGGTCTCAATTCTTTGGACCAATGATTCAATGCCATGGACATGGCGGCCCAGGTCCAACAAACTGTTGGAAGCCTGGAGTTCCTTAAGTTCCTTGCAGTCGTCAGCCAAGTCTGGGGCCTCTTTGGCCAAGGCATCAAATCGGCGCCGGGTGAATTCCCTCACGCAGGTGCAACTGACCTTGGTGGCTCTGAGATGCCGGAGGCGCCCTCCGACCACCACACCCCCGACCTGTGGTGTGAATTAGCTTTGAGAATATTCTACGATATTCTACGCACCTGACAGTATCCAGTCATGTAGGACCCATGGTGCATATATGTGTCAGCCTCTTTCATACGTTTCATATGGCGAGCGTTCAACTGCACAGCAGTGTAAAAGCAAAGCAACCAAGGCCCGGACTCTGAGCATTTCTTGCAGCTGAGCAAATCGTCTGAAATCAGCCATGCGAGGTTCCTGTACTTTCTTTGCAGGCATGTACCTTGTGATCTGCTCCCATCCAGCACCTGCCACTCTTGGGTACGGACAGCTCAGTCATGAGTTTTCCTTTCTCTAACTCCACAAGCGACAAATAAGAACGGATATATTATATATAGTGAATATTTACAGTAAGTGCATTGTAAAATACTGTTGCGCGCGCACTGTGTCACTATGTCCTGTGTGCATGTCTCCCATGCCAGTCTTTAGTGCTGCAGAACCGGGACCGGTCAAAGCAAGGCTTGGACAAGAATCACCTCCAGCACGTTCTTCCAAATGAGGTCCACAGCGACGATCTTCCAGGTCACGGGATGAGGGACTAATAATTGGGCCTCAAAAGCTTCGCTGAAAGAGTAGTACATCGCAATTCAATGTGCACGGCCTGTTTCCCTCTCAATGTGAACAAACTGCATTTTTCCCTCGCTTATATCTCTATGCCTCAGGCCCCTGGAAACTCCACTGGAAACATCATCTATATAGTCTTACAAAGTGCCGTCTGTGATGTGCAATTGCTGGGAACTTTTGCTAGGGTTGTTCAGTTGTTCGACTCAACCCCCTACCCTAGCATTCAGCTAAGTTGTAAGCTTGCCGGTTCTAACTATGATTAGGTCGCTTAGCCTTGGTCTCTGCTACTTTGGGCTACTACATCAGATTAGTGCTTTCTTTTTTGTTTATCGTCATAATACTTGAGTTCCATGATGGAATACAACATAAATTGCACCCATAATTTGTGTTGACTCCTTCCGGCTTCTCTTGGGTTACAAGGGGGGTTTTGATGGACTTGGGTTTGAAAGAGACCGGACCGGGTTCCAACAAGCCAAGGTCCTAAAGCGAGTTTGAAAGCGTGGAATTCTAGGGTGGGTAGGGTGCTCGACCTTACATGAGGCTGTGCGAAATTCTACATGGGTGTCATGCACCAAGGAACTGGGAACCAAACAACTTTGGCATCAACTGCTCCAAGGATCCTGGGGCATCACTGATTCCTTTCTGTTTGATCGCCTGGTGCTGAGGTTGCTCCAGCTCGCGGATCTTGGACCTCACATCGTCGGGAACAAGCGAACCGTGACGAGCCCCAAAACGGGGGGCATCATGCTCCTACATAGGCCTAAGACTGATATAGACAATTGGGGAGATGTGCTTCTTCAGTGGGTCCACACCCGCCTGAGTGATGAGATTTTCCTAAAGAAGAACTGCTAGGACCACCTGGTGGAAATCTTTTTGTGCTGGGTGGCAAGTCAAATTATCAATTGAGCAAGCATTTCCATCCCCATCGTGGTGTCTTCATGGTAGGTTTGTGCTATACTCTGAAGAGCCCGTCTCTGTCCCAGCTATAAAGGGTTCTTGCCTGTTGCAACACGAAGCAAGTCATGGCCGTATTATTGGTCCGAGCAGCATCTGCACAATGCTTACCTTCTCGTCCTCCAGGCTCAACTCCTGCACGTACCAGCTTACGCCGACCCTTCGACCGTTCGACCAAGAAACGTAAGCGTCCACGGTGGGGAAAAAGGCATCGCCAAATATATCATGCATGGCCCCAAACAATTTGCATGTCCAGGGTCTACTCTTAATTAATCTGTGAACTGTGAACTGTAAAACATGGGGATCATGAGAGCCTGGATTGAGTTGGCGAAATGCTCTCGTGTTTGACTGGCGCTACAAGTTTGCTCACCATAGTCTGCCATACGACAAGGAGTTTTTGCACTTGACTGGCTTCGATTCATCTTGAAATGCAGTCCCAGCGTCCTGAGTTTCAAAGGCATCTCTGGCTTTCTTGGAAACCGGGGAGCGGCACTTTAGCAAAAACGCATCGAACAATGATCTCTCCAACGCTGAAGGGGAAACAGTTGTTGAATTCTCCAACACCTGTCCAATGGTCGCTGCCGGCACATCACCTACAACAGTCATGGCTTGGCACAAATACGCCAGTGCTGCACACATGCGCCACTCTATAAATTCGCAGTCTCTGGATCTCTTTGGCAGTCGCGATGCTAGTCGCTTCACAGCCTTCACCATGGAAGAATCGTCCCACTGCGTCCAATCTTGACAAAGTAAGATCTGTAGGCCTTTGGTTTGCTGTACCCAGTGATCATCACAAAGGTCCCTGCCCCAAGAAACCATTCGCAACTGCCACTCCTTGAGATCTTCACCATTCTTCTTGAGCCAATCCAGCACAAGTGGTCTGACCCCGCGGACATTCAACAGCAAAGTTGGTGGTAGCTCATCAGCACTAATGAAGCGGACAAGGTGAACAACCTGCCGCAATCCTGGAGGAACAAGGAGAGGTGACTGCTCCTGTGGCTTCTGGGCAAAAATCCAAGAAAATGACTTCTGCTTCCTATCCTGTACGAACTGATCAAACAGCTTTGCGATGTGGGCTCGCTTCTGCCGGGACAGCAGGTCTCGAACCAGCAGTACGACAATAGCACTGCTTTTGGCAACCAGCACGCGGCAATCCATTTTGAGTGCGATGCAGCCCTCATAAATCCAGCTGGCCAGTCTCTGAGCCTCGGACTCGGGTAAGGAAGGAGTGTTGCAGGAAAACCAGTGTTCCTCGCGATATCGATACCTACTGCCAGTACTAGTAGTACGGCTTTCATCGGACATGTCCAGCTGCCCCTCCACCACTCGGCCTTCTTCCTCTTCTTGCTGCAAATCATCGGAAGGCTGTTCAAGCTCTTCCTCTCGCAGCGTTTGCGTGCTCTGTGTCGAAGGGAGATCATGTTTGCCTGCTCTTCGCTGTGCATCTTCACAAAGTTGCTTCAGCTCTTCCTCGGGCACTTGTGGTGTGCCGTCTTTGTAGTATCTTCCGCACCCGTCAAGCATTCTGCGGACGGCGAATGTATCAAACCCTCCGATTTGCTTGCACGCTTCAAAGACCTGCCTCAGAAATGTTTGGGGGAGATGGCGCATCTGTTGAAACTCTGCTACCGCAGACTCGTCACACTTGAGTGGCGTGCTATTGAAACATAGCAGCACTGCTTCCAAAGATGACAGCGTCAAGAGCTGTAGCCAGCCTTCAAAAGTGGCCCATTGGTCGAACTTAAATGCCTTCACAATGTCAAAGACCCGTGCCCTTACCTCAACATATGCTTGACCCCTGTCACGTATTGCATCATGGGCCAGTCGTTGCACGGGCAGCTTGAACAAACCCGCAGAGTCCATGACTGAGAGATCCTGTTCGAGCACATGCAACCCTCTCACCGGCTCTCCACTTTGAAAAAGATAGATCATGTGACAGCTGGATCTGCCTCTAGGCTGAGGAAGGCACAGAAAGTATGGCTCTAGGTCTCCAAGAGTCACAGAGCTGGCCTCATGGGCCAACCTGCTCAGCAAATCACTCACAAATTCAAACTGAAACTCCAAGAGGAAGCAAAGGCTCTCCGCAAAAAGGCAAGTGTCTTCCATGACCTCGTCTAAAGGACAGGCCTGGCAGAAGACCTCAGCTTCGCGGGAAAGCTGAAATCGCTTCAATTTGCAGGTGTTCTAAGTAAGTTAACTTCTGAAGTGTCAGGATGTCAAATGAAAAACACTCACAAAAACCAAACCACCCCAAACTTGACTCTGCAATAGCTCGGCCAAAGCACAAACAAGTGCTTGTGCGGATCTAACGACGGAGGCCAGCCAGCCTCAGTAATGTATTGCCTGCTGATTGCATCGTCATCGTCGATCACATAGCTGCCACACGCCGCACTGATCACTAAAATGTGTATAGGCTTGGATTGACAAGCAGCAACTGTGCCAACAACCATCTTTTCGAGAATGACCAGCTCTTCAGGTTGCTGTTGACCTTTGGGCAGTATAACTGTGAACTGCAGGTCCAAAGCCGTGTCTCGAAACCCATGCCCTCCGTAATACACAAGCAGCTTGCTTTTGCCTCCCTCTTCCAACTTCTGCACCGCATCTGCGAGTGCCTTCTGAATATCACCTTTGCTACGTCGTAAACGCTCGTCGTCCAGCACCACGATGGGATCGTGGCAAAACCGACACGTCCGCACCGTGTCAGCCAAGCGTTTGGCATCTTCCACCGGAGTCTTGGAGAAAGGGTCCGACTCTGCCAGCCCGACGCCTAAGCCGATGATCACTGCTTCCCATTCGCCTGGGTGACGGTGATCCTCTGTGCTCCCGATAAGGTCTGCCATGGCCAAGACAAATGTCCAATGGTGTGGTGTCTCTGCTTTTTTGCGAATGTGTCTCTCATTTCCTGCAACGGAAACATTGTTATATAATTGGTGGAGAACAACTTTTTACAGGCAACTTTGGCAACCTCATCTACGATTCATTCTCATTTCTTTTTGTAAGGCTGCCAGGCTGCTACCTGTACACGACAATGTTGAACAGGCAATCTGGGACTGTGCACGAAGCAAAGCACCTTGATGCTCACTTGGGTGGCCAGTTTCATGCATCGATCGAGACACTTCCAATTGGACAGACCCGTTTGAATGCCATCATGCGATGCATCCTGAGTCTCAGGAGTTGCTCTCGTGCAAGAGCAGTAGTATGACATAGTAGATTGAATAATATAGATTCGATTCAGTTGCTGGTCCCAGAATGAACCCTCATGTTGGTTCCATAGATCATAGATTCGTTACTAGATTCGTTATAGATCCCATTCCCATTCCTCCACGGCGAGACAACCGGCTCACTACCACCCAAGTGTAAATGTGCATGCTCTACGGATCTCAACGGCTACTTTTTCGGCTAGAATGCATGAGAAATCATGAGAATGCAATTGTCAAATCCCTTTGGGACTGTGAGTTTGGGACCCTCACATTGCTGGTGGCGCAGCTTCGGACGCAGCCATCGGGGCCTTGCAGGCTTTGGGTCGCCCGCCCGCATTGTTGCCAGCTAAGATTTCAGCATAGCTCTGCCCTGGAGAAGCCGACCCGACACATCCAGTCCACTCCGCGCACCTCCTCTTCAAAAGTTAAACTCTGCTATGAACCCCCCCGACGCAAATCTGCAAGCAGCTCCAAAGCTTGTTCATCAGGAATGCCGCGTCGGCTCATCAGCGGCATAAATTCTTGCACTGGATTTCCCTCTCTTGTCATTTTTTTGTGTGGGCCACTGAAGCGGATGTTGCATCTTCGGATCTCAGCTCAATTGCCTCGCACGATCGAGCTGCGAAACCATTGTGCAGCTGTGCATCCGATGCCCCTCGATGTACGTAGCCCGCTTGCTGCAAAACGTCTCGGAGCACATCGTTCCGTCTTTCACCATCTTTCACCTTGGAGAACATGAAACAAGGTGCTCAAAACCACGTTAGGGAGCACCAAAAGCAAAAATCTGGCCGGGCGAGCCTCCTGAAGACTTTGGAACCTAGTTTGGCCAATGCTAGGAGACCAAGCACCGGTGTGAACGCTAGAAAGAACGCAGCCAAGTATGTGGCTTCCTCCCCTTTCCCGAACCAACTCCTCAAGTCAATCACCGCTCAGGGGAAAGATCTGGCAAACCTTTCATATGTCTTTGACACAACGATGTTATCTCTCCTAAAGTAAATATGGTACCGGTGGGGACGAGATGCTCGGGTCCATGACTTCTAGGATGAACGCGTGTTCACTGAAGACCTGACTACACCTGACTACTGGTCCCAGATTGATGGCATTTTCTTAAACAATTAGCATGAAAACGGACGGCTCCCCTACCAGCAACTACATAATCTTCAGTTGCAACTTCTTTTAACAACGGTTCATCAGCCCACAAATCAATGTCTATATGAAGCATCTGTCCAAACGTATCCCACATGAATTGTTCGGTCATGTTCTGGTCCGACGTCATCTGGGTGGATTGATTTGGACCAAGGGGAATTCCCTACCGATTCTGTGGATATGATGACACCCACAAAGACCAAACGATTTAAAAGCAATTCAGGGTGACTCTCAAGTTGCTCATTGTTTTTTTTTCAGATTGTAGTATGCCACTTGTGGGGTGGAATTCACCAGTGACAAATTCAAGTCTGGATGTTGAAGCCCTTGACCGCTGATTGACCAGGAGTGGCCTTACCCAAAGCGAAATCAGCCGTGCAAACACCCCTTGCTCTTCTTGCACATGCTCTTGATCTGCTGGACCGCAAAATGTGGAAACATGGTCATCGACAAAGACTCAAAGACTTTCACAACTTGCACCCGTGCATTCCACCATCGAGGTTCCAAACAGTTTCGGACAAGTCGGCTGGTCGCCCTTAGGGAGACGCGAGGAGAGAACTTGCGGTTCTGGAAGGAAAGTGAAGTAGTCCAAGATTCGACAGTGGGGTCAGACTGTTCCACACCGTCAAAGTCAGGAGCACCAGCCCAGGCTGTCTGGATCCGTTCGGAATCGGTGGGCGGAACTCCTCTGAACCACGGGATTGTGAGGCTCCTGCTTGGACGAAAGTCGCATTGAACTCCAATCAAGAGCTCTCGCATCGAGGATGTTGGGCGATGGAGCTTGTAGAGCCTCCTTGTTCTGAGGCTGGTCACTGGAGGTAGCAGCCTCTTCCTCTTCCCAAACCTTCAGGCATTGATGGATTCCTCCGAGAGAAGCTTGCCCCCAGATAAACCTCAGACGACTACCCAGGAGTTGCTTGATGCCACGTCCTCCTCTTCAGAAAAGTAACGATCTGCTAAGAACCCCATCCCATGCATGCTCTCAAACAGCTCCAAAGCTTGTTGATCAGGAATGCCGTGGCGGCTCATCAGCACCATAAACTCTTGCTCTGCAGCTCCCTCTCTGGTCATTTCTGTGTGGACCACTGAAGTGGATATTGCATCTTCGGATCTCACTTCGCTTGTCTCGAGGTTCGCAATCATTGAACTCATGGGCCCTTCTAACATACGACGATCGGCCTGCGAAACCACTGTGTGTGCGGTGCGGCTGTGCATCAAATGATGGCCCTCAATGTAGCGTGCTTGTTGCAGAACGTCTCGGAGCACCTTGGCCCGTCTTTCACCTTAGAAAACAAGGGGTACAAAATCACGTCAGGAAGCACCACAAAAGCACCAAAATCTGGCACGGCAAACCTCCTGAAGACTTAGAATTGGCCAATGCTACGAGACCAAACGCCGGTGTGAACAAAGAAAGACGCAATTTGATAGAAAGAACGCAGCCAAGTATGTGGCTTCCTTCCTTTCCATATATCTAGAAACAACAACGTTGCCTCTCCTAAATATGTTGGCAAGTCACCAACCATTGCCGGGGAGATGCTTGGTTTGATGACTTCTAATGGGATGAAAACGCTTTCACTGAAGACTTGACTACACCTCACTACTGATCCCAGATTGTCGGTACTTTCACAACAAATAGCATGAAAATAAAAACAAATTGTCCTGTCTCCAGTGGTCCATCATCATCCAGCAGGTTGAGATTTTGCACCAACGGAATTTCATTGACTACTGTGTGGGTATGAATGACACCAACAAAAACCAAACGCTTAGAAGGCAACTCAGGGTGACTCAAGTTGATCATTGCTCCCCTCAGACTGATGTATGCCGCCTGTGGAGTGACATCTTCTCCAGTGACCCCTGCAAGTCCGGATGTTTCAGCCCTCCACGGCTGATTGACCAGGAGTGGCCTCACCCAAAGCAACATCTGCCGCGCAAATGCCTCTTGCTCTTCTTCGTGCCCTCCAACATCTGGACCACAGAATGCGGCAACGTGTTGATCGACAAAGCTTTTCGCAAGTTGCACCTGTGCATTCCACCATTGAGTTTCGACACATGTTCGGACATGTCGGCTGGCCGCCCTTAGAGAGCAAAGAACTTGCGGGTCGGAGGGCAAAAAGAGAAGTAGTTTCCGCCAGGATTCACGACGGGGGTCAAACTGTTCCACACCGTGCAAGTCAAGAGGAGCAGCCCACGCTGTCTGTGCATCTCGGTCCATGGTGTCGGACTCGTTCGGAACTGCAGGGCTGAACTCCTCTGAACCACGGGGTTGTGAAGGTCCCTCTTCGACGAAACGCGCATCGAACTGCATCATCATTGAGAGCTCTTGCGTCGGGGGTGTTGGCCGACGACGCCCGTGGGGTCTCCTCCTCCTCCTCCTCCTGAGGCTGGAGTCAGTGGAGCAGCTTGCTTCCTCTTCGTCATGAAAATCAAGCAAATCTTCAGGCATTGATGGATTCCTCCGAGAGAAGCTTGCCCCCAGATAAAACTCAGACTCCCCCGGAGTTGCTTGATGCCTTCTGTCCTCGTCTCCGCTCACGTCCTCCTCTTCAGAAAAGTAACGATCTGCTATGAACCCCCCCCGACGCAAATCTGCAAACAGCTCCAAAGCTTGTTCATCAGGAATGCCGTGGCGGCTCATCAGCACCATAAACTCTTGCACAGGATTTCCCTCTCTGGTCATTTCTGTGTGGGCCACTGCAGCGGATGTTGCATCTTCGGATCTCACTTCGCTTGTCTCGAGGTTCGCAATCATTGAACTCATGGGCCCTTCTAACATACGACGATCGGCCTGCGAAACCACTGTGTGTGCGGTGCGGCTGTGCATCAAATGATGGCCCTCAATGTAGCGTGCTTGTTGCAGAACGTCTCGGAGCACCTCGTCCCGTCTTTCACCTTAGAAAACAAGGGGTACAAAATCACATCAGGAAGCACCACAAAAGCACCAAAATCTGGCAGGGCAAACGAGGGGTGTGAAGCGAAAAGAATATCGGCATCATTTGGAATCCGCCATCATCTTCCTCTTTACCAAACATCGGTGAAACTATCATTCAGGGGAGCGCGTAAGCCTACAGGTGTGCCATGTGGTGAAGTCTGTTGCAGGATGAATGTCTGAAGGGGTGATGACGTTGGTGTTTCTCAGGGCACGCCAGTGATAAGAATGTTGACGACTTGATAGTGTGATATGGCCTGATATGGTGACTGGAATGGCGGTCATCGGTGGCAAACGAAAACGGTTCCCACTTCACCCAACCACCGGACCACCCTACACTTCACTGCCGGCGGCTACGTGCCAGTTCAAAAATGGCAGCCGGCAGTTCGCCAGTAACAACATACCGACTTCACTACAAGGCAAAACCCATCACCACCATCCCATTTCCCCCTGGCAAGAACGACCTCCTCACCAAGCGAATGCACATTGTCTGTCCACCAGCACAATTGGCCAACTCCCTTGTCGATTAGAATGTACCAGCTCACCACCGGCAAAAACACAACACTCACCCGTAGAGAGAAATCATGCCACCACCAGGTTGCACAAACGCCGACGACGACAACAACGACAACAACATTGTAGAAGCTTGCCACTTCACCACACCACTCCACCGACACCAAGTATGATAATACATAATGCCAAAAAACACAATATTATATACCACATCAACAGTGCAGAAAACTCAACGCACCAATGGCAACTTGCAGCTCACCAATGGCGCGGTGTCAGAACAAACTTCCTGAAGAGGCGTCGCAAAGCTACGCACAATTACATCTATTTCAGCAACACCCCGACAAACTTGCGGGAAAAAAACACTTCTGCAATTGAATTCATGTCTTTTCACAACGGCGCATAAGCCAACAAATCCTTTTTTTCCCTCCTGAGAGACCCCCAAGAAACTGCTCTGGCAATAGTTATGCAGGTTGATTTGTTTTTTTGACTAACTGTCTGGGTATGAATGACACCAACAAAAACCAAACGCTTAGAAGGCAACTCAGGGTGACTCAAGTTGATCATTGCTCCCCTCAGACTGATGTATGCCGCCTGTGGAGTGACATCTTCTCCAGTGACCCCTGCAAGTCCGGATGTTTCAGCCCTCCACGGCTGATTGACCAGGAGTGGCCTCACCCAAAGCAACATCTGCCGCGCAAATGCCTCTTGCTCTTCTTCGTGCCCTCCAACATCTAGACCAAAGAATGCGGCAACGTGTTGATCGACAAAGCTTTTCGCAAGTTGCACCTGTGCATTCCACCATCGAGTTTCGACACGTTCTCGGAAATGTCGGCTGGCCGCCCTCAGAGAGCAAAGAACTTGCGGGTCGGAGGGCACAAAAAAAAGTAGTTTTCCCCAATCCCAATACCTGTTAACCGAAGTGAAATGCAAATACGAAGGCCACACATCTCGTTCAATCGTGGTGGATCCCTTCGGAATCGGTGGGCGGAACTCCTCTGAACCACGGGGTCGCGAAGCTCCTGCTTGGGCGGAAGTCGCATTGAACTCCATCGGGAGAACGGAGGAATCATGGCTGACATCTCCTCCAAACAGCACCTCAGCTGCGTTTATTTTTCTTTGGTGTTATTTAATTTTGATTAATTATGGAACATCATTAGCCTGATATGGCACGCAATCCCCTGAGTCAGGCACACTCTGACATTGGTTTTCAGTTAACTCAGTTCCCAGGTGGAAGTTAACTCAGTTCAGTTAACTCGATAAACGCGGCTCCAAAGCTGTTGCAAGTCTGCGGACGGCTGCTGAAGGAAATCGGTTTTAGGGAAAGTATCATGAAGAACAACCATGGAAACAACGAAACAGCGGCAGGGTGGACCATTGGTGTCAGCGTGTTGACAGCAGGTACGTTCGGATGATCAGTCCGAATATCCCACTCTGCGACCTAGCTTCGTTGAACTGGGTCAGCCACAGAGTGCCCAGTTCCCCTGCTTATGCAAGAAAACGAAAGGGAAAGGAACTCTTAGCCACAGAGCTTGACACACACACGACGCCGAACCCGGCGCCCATGTTGCAAGCGGCGACTGTTTTCGTCGTCGTTGGTTTTTTCAAAAAGCGTTCGCAGTCTCTTGCTGCGTGTCCCTTGAGGACGTAGAGACGGACTAGCTCATTGTGGTGGAAAATAGGACACTGGTAGGTGGGTGGATGAATGGATGGATGGAAGTGGGTTTGTGGGTAGGTGGATGGATGGATATGGATGGAAAGGGTGGATGGATGGATGGAACACACAGTTGGAATGCGTCCTAATGAGGTGTTTCTGGGCAATGTATGATTGCTTGCAATGTTGATTCATTGTGCAAAAAACGTATGTCTATATATATATGTACAACTTGTGCGATCTTCAAAAAAAGTAGCTTGTGCACACAGGCATACACATTTTTCAAATATCAACACATACAAGAATTCATAAAAGGCATTCTATCTGTTTGATCTGTCGTAAGGGTCGTTCTCTTTTGTTCTTGTTGTGGGTTGCACAGGTGCAACGGCATTCTATCTGTGCGACAAAATCAACATTGCAGAACCCTACCTGCGGTTGGCCGGAATCATCGAAAATCAACATTGGTATTGTCCAAACCGTCATTCTAACTTTCAGTCCTGAGCTATAATGAGGTAGAAGCATATGAGAAGCAGGAACAAATGCACACTCACCGCGCACTGTACTCTAAATTTGTTTGAAACATAGCTTATCAAAATATCACAAAATATATAGTCACATAGGTCCTTTGACAGACTATTGTAAAGTACAACAACGGGTATTGTACATTATCAATGAAAATTTGTATCATTGCAAAAAATGTCATGAGGTAGAAGCATATGAGAAAAAGGTGCACACTCACAGCGCCCTGCACTTTAAAATTATCATTAGAAACAAAGTACACATCAAAAAACAATCATAAAAAGGCTTGTCATATATGTCCTTCCAACAATTGTATTGTAATGTACAACAACAGGTAATATATTATATATATAATATCACTGAATGAAGATATGGTAGAAAGAGTTTTTTCATTTCAACAATGTAATGAGGTAGAAGCATGTGAGAAACAAAACAAAAGTGTACTACCACTTTCCTCCAGCTCTCTTTTTTCCTGGTGCCGGGTCAAGTGTCGCACTTTTGGTCGCTAGTTTTTCCTGGTGCCGGGTCAAAAGTTGCCCTTTTCGTCGCATTTTGTTCGCTCTTTTTTCGCCCTTTCTCTCTCTTTGGCTAAGGCGAGCAAAGACCCAAAGCCCTCGATGTGAGCGTCAGCGAGCAATTGTCGACACAAGCCGCTTCATCTCCCCACACCAGGGAATGGGTAAAGAAAATGCTTCCACAACAATCCGTTTGTTTTTTCCGCTTTTTTGCACAACAAAACGGGAAAACAAAAACAACAAGCGAACAAAGAGCAGAAATCAGCGACCAAAAGTGCACCAGAAAGGGGACCCTTCCAAAAAGTGCGCCAGAAAGCCCGACTGAGTGCAGAAACCTCAGGGACCATGTAGATGTCAGCCGCCCCAGAGCTTTTTTGGAGGGGTGTACAGTTAGTCACAGTCGCTCACAGCTACACTACAGTAGCAGTAGCAGTAATTTTGTTACTGCTTGGCATGTATTGTACATGATTACCAGGTAACTCCGTTTTGTCAACTGGTTGTCACGCTGTTTGTTGCAGGGGTACTCTCTTGCTAGTTATAAACATGCTGTGTTATTCCAGTTTTGCGCGCAAGTTTTTTTGTTGTTTTGCTTTCATGATTGTTTTTTGCTTTTCTGGCTGCATTTTGAGATTATTTTTTTTGCATGTTTTCTTGCTTTTGTGTTTCTCGCTGCATTTTGTGCTTGCTATTTTTGTTGTTGTGTTTAAAATTTTCCAGATGATCCACTTCTAGAATAAAGAGGTCGGGCAAACACAACATTATGAAACCTCCATTCACGCGCTGCCTCAGTCATGACAAGTCCTGAATCGGGCCTACTACGCAAAACAGCGAACACCAACACAAGGATCCTGCACGAGGGCTTTGCACATAGCTGACACTTCTGCCCTCGCCCGAGTGTATATACACATTTACAATCTTTTACACCGAATTCCTTAAGAACAGTCACAAAACACGTTTGCTCGTTTTGATTTGCATTTCTTTTGCCGTTAATAAATAGGCAGCCCGCCTTTCTCCATGAATCGTCTTGCGGCTGCAATATCAACCCCTCTGGAACGTCTTCTGGCTGCATTTTCAACTGTTCTTGTTTTGGCTCCACAGTTTGCAGCTCCAAGAACGCAGTCACCAACCTCCTCACCAATGCTCGTGGAGAAAGAGTGGAAGTCTGCAACAGCTCGCGTATTGTGTCCACTTGTGGTACATTCATTGTGGCATTCATCGCTTTGTAAAGATATGCGAGCTCAGCACCCACACGCCCCTCCAAAAATTCACACCCTCTGCGCTTTTTAGGTAGTTGCAACACTGTCTTCATCACAGCGTTCACCAGTTCCGGGTCATCCCACTGAGTCCAATCTTGGCAAATTAAATATCGCAGGCTATAAGTCTCCTGTACCCACTCATCATCACCAAGGTCCTTGCCCCGGTAGACTGTTCGCAGCTGCCATTCCTTCAAATGCTGATGCTGTTCAGTTCTCTTGAGCCAGTTGAGCACCAGTGGTCTGACCCCACGAACGTTCAACAGCAATATTGGCGGGAGTTCATCAGCGAGGAAGCGCACAAACTGGACAACCTGTCGCAATCCTGGTGGCACTAGAAGAGGCGACCATCGCCGTGGCCTCGTTGCAAACATCCAAGAGAGTGATGTTTTTTTCCTGTCCTGGATGAACTGATCAAACAGTTTTGCTATGGTGGCACTCTGCTGCCGCGAAAGCCGTTCGTGAACGATCAAAATTACCCACACACTTCCTTTGGCAAGCAACACGTGAGGTTCTATTTTCAGTGCTCGGCAACCGTTGTAAATACATGTTGCCAAATCGTCGGCCTGACCACCTGACAAACCCAGCTTTTCACAACAAAACCAATATGTCAAGTCCACTTCGGGATCTTGCTCCCAAATTGGTTTGATCTCTTCCTCCAACCTCAGCATGTTCCCCACCCTTGGGGTCCCATCTTGGTAGCATCTTCCAATCTCGTCGAGCATCTCTCGAACAGCAAACGCATCATGATGTTCAAATCGTTTGCATGCCTCGAACACCTCTACGAGAAATGCTTCAGGCAGGTTCTTCATACTTTGAAACCATTCCCTCTCTCTTTCCGGCGTCTCCTGACTTCCCTCCGCGCCAGTGAGGCAATGCCTCAGTCAAACCAAAGGTTTGAAAGAAGGATGAACTCTTGGAGGCCTTTTGTGAGCTACAACCAATTGCAGTACACATACTGCAGTACATTTATTATTGTGGACTGCAAAACAACACACCGAACACAAATTGAAATTGTAGTGGTTGGATTTCTGAGTGGCAGCAAGCTCTTCAAAGTACTTTGAGTTAAAAGCATCTCCCAATACTTGAAATTAAATCTCCAGTCATGACTGCAGAAGCCCCTGGCAATGCTTGAAACTTGCTGCCTTACGTCAGCGTAGCGGCATTCATCCTCTCTGATTGCATCATGGGCCAGTCTGCGCACGTGCAGTGTGAACAAAGGTGCGTGGTATAGCCCTTCCAAGTGGTCAAGACTGTAACCAAATTCATTTGGTTCATTCACGCTGCCTTGCGTGTCAGTGAAGAGACGCATCAAGCGAGGTTCAATTGAATGAGCAGGAAGTTTGCCTTCTGCTGGCTCAAGCTCTCCGAGTGTGACGAACTTCGCTTCCTGAAACAAATTATCAAGTAAATAACCAACGCGGGCAAACCGGCAGCCCAAAAGGAAACATAGGCTTTCGGCGAAAAGGCAGGTGTCGTCCATCTTCATGTCTGGCTGGCACGCATGACAAAGCACCTCAACCAGTCTGAAGTAGATGTCACGCGACCCGGACTCTAAACACAAATTACTTTACTTCGAAAGACCCCCGCCATGACAATTCAATCATTTGTTGTCATGTCATGGTGAGGAGCATGTCGCCATGGTCGTGGGTTTTGTGGTTTTCAATTTTGCTTGTGGGTCCTCGGACTTGGGATTGTTAATTAGTGTTAGGGAGTTCGCGCGGGGTGCCGGGTTCTCCAGTTGGCATCCAAAAGTGCTAGCCTGTGACCACCTGCGCCGCAAAATGCCACACACACGGGTCACTATGTTATTGAGGTTGTGAATGTGTTTGTAGCTGTGTGTTTGTGATTGTGTTTGTGGCCGTGCTTGTGGTTGTGTGTCTGTGGATGTGTTTGTGTTTGCAGTTGTGTGTTTGTGGTTGTGTCTGTGATTGTGTGTTTGTGGTCGTGTTTGCGGTTGTGTGTTTGTGATAGTGTTTGTGTGTTCGTGTTGTGCATATGTGCTTGTGCTTGTGGTTGTGTGTGTTTGTGATTGTGTACTTGCGGTTGTGCTTGTGTTTGTAATTGTGTCCGTGGTCGTGTTTGTAGCTGTGTCTGTCATTGTGTGTTTGTGATCGTGTGGTTGTGGTTGTGTGTTGTGATTGTGTTTGTGGTTGTATTTGCGGTTGTGTTTGTGATAGTGTTTGTGGTTGCGTTTGTGATTGTGTTCGTGGTCGTGTTTGTGGCTGTGTGATTGTGATTGTGTTTGGGGTGTGTGTTTGTGGTTGTTTGTGTGGTTTTGTGTTTGTGGTTGTGTGTTGTGGTTTATCTGTTGGTGGTTGTGCTTTGTGTTTGTGTATATGATGTGGTTGTGCTTTCTTGGTTGTGAACTTTGTATTGTGTACGTGGTAATGTTGTGTGGTTGTGACGTGTGTTGTGTGTTGTGTGTTTGTGGCTGTGTGTTTGTGATTGTGTTTGCGAATGTGTTCGTGGTTGTGTGTTTGTGGTTTGTGTGTTGGTGGCTGTCTGTGTGCTTGTGGTTGTGTGCATGTTGTTGTGTGTATATGTAACCCTGCCTGTGTCTTACAACCTCCCAGCAACCACCACAGTCTACTCAAATGCCCCGCGTGCGTGCTGTCAACCGTTGCCCCTGTCTCTATATATACAAAATGAACCACTGAAGTTGAACTGCTTGCTGATTGTGCGTTTGTGGTTACGTTTGTCATTGTGTGTTTGTGGCTGTTTTTGTGATTGTGTTTGCCAACGTGCTTGTGGCTATGTGTTTCGGATTGTGTGTTTGTGGTTGTGTTTGTGATTGTGTTTGTGTGTTGGTGTTTGTGTTTGTGGTTGTGTGTTGGTGGTTGTGTTTGTGGTAGTGTGTTTGTGATAGTGTTTGTGTTTGTGGTTTGTGTGTTTGCGGTTGTGTGTTTGTGATGTTGTGTGCTGGTGGTTGTGTTTGTGATTAAGTTTGTGGTTGTGTCTGTGGTTGTGTGTTTGTGATTGTGATTGGGGGGGTGTTTTGTGTTTGTGATTGCGTTTGTGTTTGTCGTTCTGTACTGTGTATTGTGTGCGTTGTAGTGTTGTGTGGTTGTGTGTTGTGTGTTGTGTTTGTGGTTGTGTGTTGTGTGTTTGTGGTTGTGTGTTTGTGTTTGTGGTTTGTGTGTTTGCGGTTGTGTTTGTGATAGTGTTTGTCTGTTGGTGGTTGTGTTCGTGGTTGTGTGTTGGTGGTTGTGTTTGTGATTGAGTTTGTGGTTGTGTCTGTGGTTGTGTGTTTGTGGTTCTGATTGTATGTGATTGTGTTTGGTGTTTTGTGGTTGTGATTGTCGTTCTGTACAGTGTATTGTGGCCGCGTATTGTTTGTTGAGGTCCGCTAGTCTTGTAGTGCCTGCCCGGCAGGTTCGGTCGTCCGATGGTGCGTGCAATCAAGGTCAATGGGGCTTCATCAAACCATGCTCAATTTTCACAATAATAAGTGATGAAATGTGACCTGAAGAAACAGCACTGGCTGCCCAAGGCACAAACAAGTTGTTACAAGGGTCCGGGGGAGAACATGCACGCACAGGCTGATAGTGCCAGGCAACTTCCTTATCTTCTGTCACGTCAAGCCTACATGCAGCACTGATGATGAGGACATTCAAAGGTCCACATTCGCTGCCGGCGACTGTTCTAATGACCAAGTCTTCGAGGAGGAACAGCTCTTTTGGTTGCTGCAGGCCATGTGGCAATACAACGGTTAAACCAAAACAGTCATCTCTTAAACTAGAAGTATCATCACAATCATGAACACCCAAATCATCGTCTGAGTCTGTGCAATGTGATGTAACTGGTATACCAAAGTCATCATGACCCGTATCATAAGCGTGCCCTCCGAAGTAGACTAGCAGCTTTGAGCCTGTCTTCATCTTCTGCACAGCACGGCTGAGAGCATTTTGAATGTCACTTTTACTTTGTAACCGCACGTCGTCGGTCACAAGGATTGGATCGCTGCAAAGGCCACACTTCTTCACTGTTTCAGCCAGTCGTTGTGCATCTCTCACGGGAGACTCCAGGCGTTGTTTCGGGTTTTCCAATCCAACACCCAGGCCGATGATCACTGCTTCCCACTGGGCTTCGGTGTTGGGAGCGGCAGAGCTCGAAGAAGCACCCGACATCGCTATGGATGGGGAGAAGTCATTGAGATCTCCCCTAGCCGCAGCGTTTCCAAACTTATACAATCAGTGCAAATGAACCCGAGACAGGCTTCAACAACTTGCAATGTCTGGTGCCTTTCTTCATTGCTATGCTATGCCGTTGTATGCCCATGAATGTGAAAATCAAATGAATGAAGCCATAGTCGATCTATACCAATAGCATCCAATAGCCGCTCCTTTGTCCCGCAATTGTCATAAATGACTGGCACTGCCGTGCTACCCGCCACTGCCTTGATGTTATGATGCTATGTGTCTCTTGAACCTTCAAACTCCAGCCATGTGAACAACTCAAGTCACAGCAAGTTCCTCTTGCTTGACAGCTGCGAACCGTGATTGCTAAGAAATCTTCTTGGGTCCTGCATCAGGGCCTGCAGAAAAACAACTGTAATGATGGAAGGCATGGCACTGACTTGGTTCAGCAGGACCTGAAATACAGGACCGAACATCTCCAGTTGCCACTCCCTTTTTTCCGCTTCCGTAAGCAAGATGCGTCACAGCCCACTCATCCTGGGCAACGATCTAATCCCCAATCCCCAAAAAGGTAAGGTGAGATATACAAGAAGTGGCCCAAATGGAATATCTAAGAAGAAGGAGGTCTTCCAGTTGTGAAGCACAACCCAGAGAATCTGTGACTGAGCACAACCTCCAAGCATTCCTCGCTGCTAGTTTGAACTTCTGCAAGGCTCTGGGCTCTGGGCAACAACTCTGCCACAATTGGATGCGGCCAAGATGCTTTGGAGCGACGGATCACATTCATTAGCTGAGTTGCAGAACTCATGATCTCAGTCGGGCAACCCAGTGCGACACAACGATGTTTAACTTCATCTGGGTTCGTGCGGTCAGCCACATTCAACCACCGCAACGAAAGCGTGAGATGTGTGGATGATCGAACATTGATCGTGTTGATGGAGCGGTCCATCAATCATGGTATTGTCAATCCCTTCTGGCTGCGGCTAGGGCGTGGGCTCACTGAGACAAAAAGCCTCCTCACAACAGAGTGCATGACCTGTCATAACGCAAACAGCACTGCACGAGGCAAGAAATGACTGTGGATCCTTCATGTTTCTTCAAATCACTCCAAACTCACATCAAGCGCCCCTCACCACGTCCTCAGGGGTGTGGGCCAAACCTGGACCCCCAAAAATACCTGGCTCTGCATGGTTGTGCATTCTGTTCATTCAATTTTCAGCCGTGAAAATCAGAGTTCCCCGGGGGTGTTGACTCACCTGTAACTCAACCCGGGCGACCGCCTCCTGGTCGACGCCGGTGGCGGTCCCTCGGCCATCCGCGCGGATGGCTGCAAACCTCCAAGGTCGAAGTCATCCTTTTTGGGAAGCTTGGAGGGTGGTTTTATTCCTGCTTGGACAGGCCAGGCATGCTGCGGCATGCCAGTAATTAATTAGATAATTAGTCCACTCCAAGAGTTGCACCAGGAAATGCAAGTCTATAAAGGAGGTGTGGAGTGTGTGATGAGATCATCCCAAGGTCTTATAAAATCACCAAAGGATCCCTCAAAGTTGATGCGTGCACGAGATGCTCGAGGCCCGAGCTTCTCCCACTCCTCGTCGAACTGCAATCGCCAAGCTTCCTGAGCACGTCTGACATCATCCGACCCTTGCAGAAGCTGGACTACTAGAAAGAACATGAAAGAACAGGCACGGCCAATGGAAACAAAGGATAAAAGACAACAAAAGCAGCACAAAAACAAACAAAAACTATCAAACACTTATCTCTACAGAACTTCTCTCTTTGGATAAACCGAGGCACCAAGACCGGCCTCTCTGGGTTGGAACCTCCACAGGTGCTGAAGGGAGAACTGGAGGGGAAGTTCCGGTGCAGCGTCTGGACTCTTCATGGATTCATTTGTTGAACTCTTCTCAGCTTGGAAGGAGCTGAAAATGAGAAACTGATAAGAAAGGAAAACGTTGGCCTTGGGGATCCGTATGCATGTCATAGGCTCAGCAACAAATTCAAAGGAGCAAGCCGGGCCTCCCATGGACAACGGCTTGTGCGACGGCCTGAGGCGAAGAAAGGCAAACATAAACACATCTCAATTTGACTCTCAATCTTATGGAGAGAAGACTTGGAGGGAGTGCTGCAGAAAGTCGGGGCACAAGGAATTGTGGAAGTGTGCCTGTCATGGCAGAATGATCTGAGGCCACCAGGGAAGCAAGACCACTCATCAAGACCGAAAGACTCAAATGACTCATCAAACACTGGGGGCCCTGCCACTCCAGCCACATGATCCGATCCTGCTTCGAAGCAACACCAGGTGTACCAGTGACCAGTGCAAACAATCAATTTATATAGATGTCAGAGCTCTTTTGGAGACATGCTGACACAGAAACACCATGCACTTATTATCACACGCTGTGCTGCACACAAGTGCTGCTTGTTTTCAGGCCACAGGTGACGCGCTGCCCTCAGGGTTTGCGGCCAACTTGGCTTCAGTGAGCTTGGCCATGGCCCGGAGCCGTTGCTGTTGCAGCTCCTGCCAAAGGGGCTGCTTTCATGGAGGTTTTCCTTTGTTTTAGATAGGGTGCCACAACTGACTACTGGAAGTTGATCAAACCGGACTAAACGGCGTAAGTTGCTAATGCAGGGTAATCAGGGCGAATTGCTATCAGCCGATCTGAGGCCCTTTGTTGAACCTGCTTAAAGTGAGGTCACTACAATGAAATGATTCGCAGCCAATCTCTTTTGTGTGACTTGATATGCATCAAACGCCCAGAAAAGAACGCCCAACAAAAACACACCATACAAGGGCCAATCCAACCCAATGCACGTTTGAATCAACAAGGTCTGATGATGTATATACACGAGTCGAACATGATATCAACATCACAAACCTCCATCTCGACATCACACAGCCACCAGATCTTCACCATACCCATTCCCACATCTCAATCTCCGCAGCCCACCACGTCCCACTCTGTGTTACCCAATTGTCCAATCAAATCTCCCTCCGTCTCCTCATTCTTCCGCCGGAGCTGGTCACACAGGACCAAGGCCTCATCTAAGAAGTCAGCGTATTTGCTGTAGCTGATCTGCGGCGCAGCGGAGCCCGCCGAGATCGACCGCTGCGCGTTGAGCTTCAGGTCCTTAAAACCGAAGTGAAGAGAGGGTGAACTGTTTTCCTGTGGAACATCTATAGGAGACGGTTTGATGAACTGTCAATCACTGGACCCATGGATGTTGGATGATGTTGGTGTCTTGGATGGACTTCGGAGGGCGACATGATCTCCCAAAAATCTGCTTCGAAAGGGTGCCATATATGCCACACAGTGGTCGCCTTCTATTGCGAAACAAATCCGAGAAGCTAGACACTGGCGTTGCATTTCGCCACAGGCCAGCAGCACCTGAGTTGTCTCTGGGAGGTTCCATCTTGGCGTGCGATTTGCTGCAACGAAGCTTTGGCATCATATGGCATCATTCTGAATGTATTGATTTCAGACAACAGCATTCAAACCTCAAAGAATACACTAAACTCTTGGCGCACCAAGGAAAAGCTTGAGAAAACTTGGTGAAGGCTAGAAAGCCATGTGGCATGACATGTGTTGATACATTGATTGGAAGCTCAATCTTCTCTCGTATCGGGTGCTGCCCTGCCCAACACCACCAACCCTTTTAGCCTGTGCTCCCCTTGCCGACTGTGATGGGACCCATCCAACCCACTTCTTGTGTTCGGCACCACTGCAATCTCCCGCATCCCATCATGCAGCAAGTTGATGCCAGCCGTGTGGGTCGCCATCACAGCAGATGGGGCACCAACTAAGCTGGCACCTGCAGCACCTGCCTTGTCCTTGGATGGGAAAATGGGAGAGTTCTGATTCCCCAACAATGCGGAAAAAGTGACTGTCGTGAGACTGTCTGAGACTCGGCGCAAGGTGTTGCTTGATCTGTTGGCCGCCCCAGGTGTGAACCAGTGTGAAAACCATCTGGCCCAATAGTTCCAGTGAAGGAGGGGACTGGGAGGAGAACTCTGTTGGCCGTGGTCACAAGCTGTTCCTGAAGCCGACTGGAACATCCGAGTGTCCGCAGCATCTCGAAGGATTTCGTGCAGGTTGGCAAACCTGGCGCACGGTGAGAAAGTCTGTGCACGGCGCACTGACGGACAGCTGACAGCGTGAGCTGAACGCTGAACAAATTCAGCGGACAGCCCCTTCGATTCTTCGAGGGGTCCAAAAGTTATGTTGTGCCCTGCACCGTTCACAACGACAAAGCAAACACACATAAAAAGAAGTTTCATGTTAGTATAGTTTGTATCTTATAGATATATCTTATATAGATTCAGTTATAGATTCATAGGATATTCTCACCTATATATAATATATATATATACCAGTCTTCTGGGTGTTGCGCACAGCGAGCCTCTGCATGTCGGCATCCAGCACTCGGAAGTATCGTCCCAGCGCATCTTCCATCTCGGAATAAGGAATAGAGTCCTCGCAGTAGTGGTTAGAGGTTTGCTGTTCTTGCATTCTAGTGCGTGTGGATGGCTCTGAGAAAACCTGACACACAGGATCACACAGGAGATTCTGTTTCGTGAAGCGCACGTGCAATGCCAAGACGATCACACAAAGGCATGCTGAGTGCCACCCAAGGAGACATGGGCAACATGAAAATCCCTCATCTTGGCTGCTTAAAGCTTCTTTGGAGCTCCGAATGATTCGGAGCAGCTGGTGGAAACCGAGTCCTGTGACCCTGTCCTTGGTGTTGTTCTTGAGCTTCCGGGAGAGGCCCAAGACCACCACGCGGAAGGCCGGAGTAAGGTCCATGCCGCTTAAGGTTCGCTGCCGTAGGTCGAAGAAGGATTTGGAAACGCCTGGAGACGCCAGATCTTATCACGGATGGAGTGGATATTATGTGGACTTTGGAATTCGAAGTGCCAGGAAGATACCGTTTAAGTCCAAAGAATTGGGTGAGTCAGGATCTGAAGTGGGCTGCATGTTGACCCCTATCATTTATCAACTCGCCGACGGGAGGGACACCAGAAAGGCATCAAATGTTGGTCTGTGCGACAGCGAGCTCGAGTGTGAAGAGTTGGCCCTAAGGAGCCATGCGCAAAGAATCAAAGGTGGAGTCTAAAAACCAAGTTCTAAGTCACTAACGGATTGATTAAACATTAAAAAGGAGATTCCCGAATTCCACAGCCAGGCCCTTCACAGGATCCCTCCAGCATTTAGCTAAAGGAATCGGAAAACCATCGGGAAAAGAACACCATGGATTGCTTGCTAGGAAACTGAGGAGGTGCAGGACCTCCTCAGAAGCGCCCCAGAAAATCGGATGCTTTCGCTACTGCTGCATCCACAAATAGGATATGATATGATATGATCTTGGGCTCATTGGTCATTTCTTGCATAAATATGCATAAATTATAAATATTATATAATCTGTAGGACTATCTGTAGGTTCTGAATGGTTTCTGAATCCAACTTCCACGTCTCCGCGTGAGCTGCGATCAATGCACTCCCATCCGGCGTTCCCCTCACCCTCATGGCCCTCGCCTACACACTCCTCATCTTCAGGCTCATCAAACTCTTCGAACTCCTCTCGGTTCCGCTCCGCTTCGTCGACATCCGCATTGTACAGGCGCATGTCACGGGCAGAGAATGGTGAATGGTGCACCTAAGGGGAGGCAGGCCTGTGAATCTGTAAGGCTTCCTTCACAAACATCTGGAAACAAACCTCCATGGGAAAAAAGAACCGGTCGTGTCTGAGTAGGTGGTTGGTCACTATGAGTTAACTTAGGTGCTCATGTTTTGCATGTGACATGATGCATGTTTGGAGGGGCAGGCAGGATCTACATGGGCACAAACTGATGCATCGCACTTTGAGTGTGCATGGTGTCCAGTGTCAAAGGTGTTTGGTGAGACCCTGTGAGGATCTTATGGCGTGTTTGTCCTGGCACATGTTGTAGCTGTTCAGCTTGAGGATGCAAAATGCCCAAGATCAGGCTGGAGAAGCACAAACAAAGCAATGTTGTAAAGATTCCTTGTCTTCAAATCACCTTTTATTCTGGACTCAGCTGCTTGTAAACATGGCGTAACCACTACTTGCATGCAGAAAGTAAGATGAAGTAAGTGAAGTTGCACGTTTCGTTAACATGGAGTCAAGAACCTCTGACTCCACAGAAGGCCCTTGGCGTTTGTCGCTTACACAAGCATGGTGACCAACATACTCACAATGCTCGGCTCCCTGATTCCCACACCACCGGACTGCCCTCGTCTGCCCTCGGCATTTTCATTGGCCATCAGTGTCTGCCGCGACCCACGTGAGCCACGAAGCTCGCGCCGTCCTTTTGGGCCCAAAGCCACGCAGAGATGGGCTGAGTGAGTCGTCTGAGGCTTCAGCAGTCTGGTGGTTTCTAGTATCGTGTGATCCCCATAGGCTTTGAGATGCTGTGAGCTAAGGGCCAAAAGAGTACAAATGCTTCAGCTGCTTTCTTTGGAGGAAACGCCAGGTGCGTCGGCATCCTCAGCATGCTGAGCATCTGAAAGCTGCGATGATATTGGCTCGGATGTCCTGAAACTTCACATTGGCAGCAGTTGATTCGGAGGAGCACGAAGAAAACTTAATTTCTGCTTAGCATCATCGCAGCTGATGATAACCCTAGGGTCATCCCGGTTCCTTCCAGTCACTGCCGGTCACTGCATGTTTCTTGTCACATGAAGAGCTGCCTTCGACACTGCCAGTTATTGTCATGATCAGTCAGGAATTACAAGAGAAGATGGTTGGCACACCACATTTGTGAAAAAAGAGCACATATTATCTCAAGATACCTCAAGCCCTCCCTCCATGTCTCTCTGCGACTCTGCGGTAAGGACCTACCAGAGTGCTTGGACCTCGTCTTGTTTCGCGGTTGTTTGTCCCGGAGAAACGAGTTTCCTCCGATCCAGATCCGTGGAATATGCGGGCGTCAAAGGCTGCAAAGCAGGCACTGGTGGCCATACCTGGGGATTGCCATGGATGGCCCCGCCTGGCGACAGGTGAGTGATGACAGAGTGGTTAGTGGTTTCAAATAATCTGCTGACTGACAGGAAAACAGAGTGGCTGCAAGTTGCTGTCCGTGTGGGAACTGAGTGTGTTTTCTGTTGAGCAATCATGGCAACACGCCCCGTGCAGCCGCCCATCGGTGGCCTGCCACTCATCCAGCTCCGGGCGGTAGAACTCCGACGAGGATAAAACACTCCCATTCTGTCCGCCCGTCACCTAGAAATTGCCGTCAGCAAGTGAGGGACCGTGTTTGATAGGATGCTTGCTCGCGTGCCCTTTTAACTTGTTACTGCAGTCGCATTAGTGGAAGGGGCCTCAAACCTAGCTCAACCGAGAGAAAGAAACCATCAGCTCCACACAAAAGAAGACACATGCTGAGAACCCACTTCCACTAGTGGTCCACCAGCCCAACTTCTTCTCTAGGCCACCATGATGGAGTCCGAGATCACAGCCGCTGCGAAGTCCATTCGCGCCTCCTGGACACCAAGTTTCCAGATGCTCAGCCGGCGTTGCTCCATCAACGGGACGCTGCTCAGGAGTGTCGGTGTTCGCCGTTGTTCGATTTAAGTGCTACAGTGCTGCTACAGTGGATTTCATGACCCACATGACCACATGACTCATGACACTTGGTCCAAAAAAATGCCCAGAACATGAGCAGTTCAGATGCACGTGGATGATATTCCGAGGGCATGACATGTCCCTGAAATCTCCTGCATGGGCGCTCGCAGGGTGAACACATGGTCGTCCGGATCCAAGCACTCAGCGGAGAAGTGAATCCTGACTCTGCACCACAGAACAACCTACCGCAGGCATTTTTGCTTGTTACGTTCGTAGCGTCCTTGCGTCCTTTTCGTAGCTTCTTGTTTTGCTCCTAGTAGCTTCTTGTTACGTTCGTAACGTATATATACAGTACATGTGGATAACTTTGAGTCGAGACCAAACTTCCCGCTGTTCCTGCACAAAACTTCCTCTGGGAAATGTAAATCTCTTTCTCCTGGGTTTGAGTGTTGTCTCAATGTTTTTCCCTGTGGCCACGCTCTGGCCTATGATCGTTGTCGGTGCCACCCATTGCAAAGACGTGGTGCACGCAGTTCGCGGCCTCTGAATTGTCTTGGCTGCAGCGAGTAAGGCGATGTACGAGTAAGAAGTTTACACAATGTAGACCCCAAGCCATACTACCCGTGACTCTCAAGTATGTCATCAACTGAAAAGCCATCTCAATATCGCATCATCCCTGATAATCCGTCATTCTGTTCAGCATTCTCCAGGTAACCACGACAAAGCTGGAGAAAAAAAATGAGCCTGCCCAGCCGAGCGCGCATCGACCATCTCCGTCTTCAGCGACTCCCAGCGGTTGGCCCGGGGATCGAACACGTCCACGGTCCGGAGCCTCCATCGATGGGAAGGAGCGATGAAGGAGGGATGAAGCAAGAAGAAGAGGAAGAGGATAAGGGTTCTTCTTCTTTATTGGTTCTTTATGGATGGTTCTTTCATGTTCGAACTATGGGCTAACTCGCGAAGGGTTCTGTTCTTTATGATTCTTTTGCGTTCTTTTTGATTGGCTCGATATGGCTCTTCCTGCGCCTTTCTGATGTTCCCATGTTCTATCTCTCTTGGTCCAACGGCCACCAAGTGCAAGTGTGCAAGCCCTAGCGGCCCTAGCGCGCCGGTGTCAACTTCGGCATGAAAGATCCGTGCCATTGCACTTCGCACCTCGTACCACTAGTCCCTCCAAGCACCCAAAGCTTCCCGCCGTTCACGGTGGCCATGGGGGAGGAGCGCCCAGTAGGTAAAGGCTCCATCTGCATCCAACTCCTAAGTATGGAGCAGCACCGCTGGATATAGTAGATAGATGCAAATATTAACTTTATAGGGTGACAAGACCTTTTGGTCAAGGAGTGCAAGTATGGATCATCTCAAGTTTCGTGTCATCGTAAGAACATGGACTTGTGAGAATATGTTTCTTAGCGGTGCTTGTTCACAGGTCATCCTAACTGGGGTGAAGCGCTTTGCGTTTTGAGTTCAACATGCGCAAATGTCCCTTTGTCGCCAAGATTCTTCAGGCGGCTGTCATAAGCCTGCAACTCCAAAACTTCTGGTGGAGATCAGCACAGGCCCATACAAACCCATAAATCAGTTTCACTGGGGTGCCTATGGCCTGCCTTCAGGATTTGTGCAGCAATATGGCCCTCTTTATCCTTCTTTCACCTTCCTTGATGTGAACCTACGGACCTACGGGGTTCCAAAGTCGCATCCTGAAACGCTTGTGGATACCTTTGAAGTCCGGCCCTCTCCCTCCCTCCCACGCGTTTGCATCGCTCGTTTGAGACGGGGGAGCAACAAGTCACGCAAACCGAATTGCTTCGATTCAACTTATTAAACACAGTCAACTAAGCCAACAGTCAACTTCGTCAGTCGCCTCACCCCTTCGGAAAATGGTGCCCGGCCTCCACGGAATCGATGATGCGCGTTCCATCAAAGCCTGTCACGAGGGCTACGAGGGCAATGCACTGACTCATGGAAATGCAAACATGACAAACTGACTCATGCCAAACAATGGAAAAACGTCCTATAGGGAATACTACGGGACGGGCGGAAGAAAGAACATATGGTGTTCGACCACTGTGGAGGGCGGGACTGTACAATATTTAAAACGATGTTCAACGCAATTGCAACGTAGAAGGTCCGCCCCTGAACGTCCGCCCCCCGGATTCGCGGCGTCCGATGAACTGCCTCCGATTGCATAGATCCGCCCCTCCAGCTCGCAGCAGCCACAGTTCCGGCGCGCGAAGCGCATGGCGGAGCCCGCCTGGTGAAGCGACAGGGCAGTCGATGAAAAAGGTTCCATGCTGTGTGAATGAATCGTTCCATGGCTGAGTGCATCGCTTCAAGCAAGAGATGTCGCAAGGAAAAGGGTTCATGCTGAGGTGGCCAGAGCACTTGTAGAACCTATGATGTCATGATCGTTGAAATTACCCAGCCAGGTGGCTATTAAGGTGGCTCACCGCTCCAACCCCCCAGCCACACCTCCCAGGTATCGCGGAGACAATCGTAGATCTCCACGTCGCACAACGCCTGAGCGAATCGAGGTCTCTCGAATTTCTCTCTTCGTCCTGTGACCTCACAGGTCCAGTTGAAAACCATGTCAATCAGTGTGTTATTTCTGTTTTTAAGGAGGTCCAAGCTACGAAGCGATGGAAATCGCTGCATTTCACCCCGTCCTGGACTGGATGTCCAACGGCCGCCCTCGCGCCATCGCGTGCCTTGTAGTCCAGGTTTTGTCCCCCGAAGACATGGAGACGGTTCCGCAGCGTGGCCGCACCGAAGTAGGTGCGTTCCTCGTGGCTTGTGGCGTGGCAAGTGGATGATCACCACGATGTGAATCGGGGACGCCAACTTGCCGCACGGGAAGGTCTATAAGACTTATTATATAGTATGTGTGTATATATACATATATATATATATATACAGAGACGTGTACTCTGGTGGGGGTTGTTGGTGAGTTGAACCTGCAAGTCAAGCCAACTGTAGCCCAAGCGGCGGTGGCCATCGCACGGCAGGGGCGCCAACACTGATTCCCCACGTCCAGGACCTGCAGACTCAAACATCTCTGATATGTTACACTCCGAGTCACTGACATAAATTTGGAAAAAAACACGCTGTTGATTCATAAAGGACAATCGTCCTTCAAGGGCCATTGTCCACTTCCATATACTTCCATGTTAGTGAGTCAAAGTCTAAATCTTCTGGGTATGAGAGGGATGCTTTCATTGATAGTGGCCAACAGCTTGATCACAAGTCCTCTGTGGCCTCCATGGCTCTCAAGTGCTCGTAACCATCGTGGCCTCCCACAGCAAACACTAACCTCAGTCACTCGACCCGCACCGAGCGAACGCTACCGGTGGACCAAGCAAGCACTTGGAGATCATCAGGGGAGGCGTGAAGAAAAGGCAAACACGTCTCATGATCTGGTGTGTCGCATGTCAGTCATAACTGCTATGGCACTTCCCGGACCGTTCCCTTGTATCGCATCGCCGATGTACTCAGGGTGAGAAGCCTAGATGGGTCCCACAGCCAGTGAATCACTGCCCGTGCTAGGTTCCCTTCGGCAATATGACAGTCAGTTGCTGTCGGCCAAAGAACGGGAAAGGGAAGAAATGCACTCCATAGAAGGAGGCTTCCTGGCGGCATCAGCATTCGTCGTACGTACTGAAAACTTGTAATTAGAGGTCTTTGTTTTAGCACGTCTGCTCACTCTACGTAGGATCTTGGACTGCCATACTGTCATAAATAACCACAAATACTGCTTATGGTTCACGACAGCGATGCCTTCAAAAACTCCCAAACCCATCAAAACTCATCAAACGGTATCTTGATACGAAGCTCCATCAATGCCTCTTGACTAACCCTGCTCGACCTCCCCCGCCTGCACCAAGGCCTCCGACTCCGCACTGTCTCGCGGCATGGGCGGCGTGTGGGGGTTCCGCAAGAAGTTCAGGATCGTCCGGAAGTGGTCCGGGTCACCTGAGTCATGGTCCCATGGTCCTTGCTTTTTCAAGTGGATTGATTTTTGTAAGAACTGTAGAACAAGTGTGGGTTTTTACTTTGGAACACTCAAACCAGTCTGGATAAAATCCACTCATTCCAGTTCCTGGCTATATCTCACCATGTCTCACCATGTCTCCCCCTAATCTGCGTGGAGTACAAGAACCTTCAGCCCCTCTACAGAAGTGAAGTGATTCACCTCCAAGCTCACTTGGCAATGTTGACAAATGCTGCTTACCTCTGGACTGCGCAGTGTCTTTGCCAGGCTGCGATTCAGGAAGATCCGCCCATAGCCTCAGCGTAAGTGGGGGCGACTGCAGTGCGTGCGGCTGCACTCGTTGGACACTGGTGGCTCTGAGTATCCTGTAGGATCACTAGCTTGGCATTCGGGGCGCCCTGGACACGGGGCAAGCAAATGGCCGGATTGAGCTACACCATCTCCGTCCAATCCCTCTCCCAAATATGTTGGTAGACACAAGGTGCGTTACAATAACATACACAAACAGAAGGTGCTTTCTCAACGAAATCGAGTTCTTCCGGAATACCATGGAATACCGCTCTCAACCTCCAACAAATCGTGCATGCCCAGCGACGGTCTCGGCTGATCTGATACCTCGGCTCGGTGCTCAAGGGACGGAGGTCACACACTTTGGTCTGGTTCAAATGGCTTCAAATGGCCTCAACTTGGAGTTGGTGCATCCAGTGGACCTATAGAGCCTCATTCCAACAGTGTCTTACTGAATGGGGTGTGCTTTGAATGCCTTCGCCACATAAATGCACTTGCCAAGTGGAGCTCCAGAATTGAAATCCTTTCAGCATTGGATTTCCTTGCGCTTCTTTTTTTCTCAACTTTCATCCAAAGAACCACATATGCGCCTTAACGTGGACATCTGGACCTTTCATGTGGACCTTTCCCCCTGAGAGGTCGATTTTTCCTCCCACACCCTGTTTCACGGTGGACCGCGCCTCCCGGAGAGGAGGCTCTCTAAGAAGCTTCCAGACTGTTGGACCAGCGTAGAGCGAGTGGTCTCAAAGATGGTCCCTCACAAGTGCGGCTGAAGGGACCATGGAGTGATGAAGGGTGGCGATCAGAAAAGGGAACAGTTCACAGAAAGAGATCTTGTGCACCAAGTCTTCCAAGTGTGTAAAAGTCACATGGTACATCCCTTACACTGGGTTGTAGCTGTCTTAGCTGGGCAAGACTCCTTGACCCAAATCCACGTGTCTCGTGAACCGCCGCCTCCCACGTTGAGATCCACCGTGCTCTCCGCCGCCAGCTGGGGATTCGCCAAACGCTGGCGATCCGCCTCGAACAAGCCGTACTCTTGGCCTCGGGACGTGTGGAGGAAGTGATGTGAATGGTTGAAGTGGAAGGGGAAGCAAATAGAAAAGGTCAATCTTGCAAATCGATTGTGAAGATTGAATCTTCGAGGCTTAGAGGTTGTATTGCTAGGCGTCAACAAAAAAAGAGTAACTTTCGCAGCGACTCCTACCATGGTCAATCTTTTCTGTCGGAATGGCGCATGAGTGTAAAATAGTGTAAGGCTTCTCTGAAAATGCCGAAACAAACCGAACCAAATCTCTTGGAACCGATGTTGGCCAGGTGAGCGGTTTTCGATTTCCCGACCGAGCAGCGAAACTTCTCGTACTCGTGCGCGACACTTCGCCGCCGTTGAGAGCCTTCTTGCTCCACCTCACACTGCTCCACTGGTGGCTGGTTGGAACCACACATGCCCAGCAGAAACAGTCACTGACGTTTCCGAAGTGGCGCACTGCTCCTACTCACCATAGGAAATTCTTCAACAACAATCTTGACCCAAAATGACCCAAAGAATCTTGTTGCCACTTCTGCTTGCGTCACAACCTGCAAGAGCCAATGACTTAGCCAAACCGGCTAAATCATGCTAAATCATCTTCCAGAAATGTGTTGAAGAGCATGTGCCGGAGGCCTATCGTTAGACTTGTTTTGATGCTAATCTGCTAAACAATCCCACTGAATCTGAACGCGGAGAAAGCAGAAAGCAAAGCCAGGCGCACGCCTCTGCAGGACAGCACGCGCTCTCTTTTTTCGGCTATCTGTCATCAGATTCACTCCAGCAACATGCAACCTGTGAAACGCCCGTACTGTGGATCCAACCTGTGCACACCTCGTGCTGAGCTCTGTGGCTCTGCCTTTGATATACTGAAGAGTGACTTCAGTTGGACCCTGAGGAACACAAAACCGCAAAACCAAAGAAAACGTACCGCTTGTATTCCGAATCCTACCACTTGGCACAAGAGCATCCACGCCAACACTTCAGAGTGTTTTAACGTCTTCTTGATGCCCACTGTTCTGGATTGATCCCAACTCGAACCGTTGAAACACTTGGATGCTCTTCCAAATGTCACCATCTCCACCGGTTTCACATCACAGTGGTTGCGGATCCTGTGGTGCTGGGATGTTGGGCTGCTCGACGCCAGCTCCTTGCGACTCCTCCTGGTCCGACGTCGGGTATCGGCATTGTGTCCGGGTGCTTGCTGCTTATATGGGCACCAGCAACAAACAGTTTACCAAGGAGTTTCATCAAACAGCACATTTCAAAACGTTCAGAAAAGCATTGCAGGACCCCAAATCATGACAACCGTGTTGTCGTTTCTGCAAGCACAGAAGATGACCAAAACGCATCAGAGTCCAACCTGCTCTTCATCATCTTTCAACAGGCCAAAAAAAACACCTGGACCCAATTGGTATTAGTTATATAGTTATATGCATGTGTATTTGGCCAAGTCACGGGTTTTTGGGCCTCTTCGAAGGGCGCTGCTTGGAGCACCGCCTCCGAGAGCATGGCCGAGACCCGTGGCAGCACGTGCGCGCGCCGGTACTGGGCCGCCTCATCGGCGACATTGCCCTGGTCGTGCATCAGCAAAGTCGCCACCTCGGGTGAGGTCGGGTGGAGCGAGGATGTGGAGGTCGGGTGAGAGAACGCCGGAGCGGAGCGAGCTCTTGGGTCCGCTTCTGTCCGCCTCTGATCGCTTTGGTTTTTTGAAATGGATTTCGATGAACCTGCCTACTTGCACCGCCGTCCACAGGAACAGCACATTGTACATCAAAGTCTTGATGTAAGATCACAACTCGCGACTTCGTCCGACTGCGTTAATTAGTGGGGTATCAGGTCCACTGCGCACCGGACTGTAAGCCAACAAACAGCAACTCCTCGCCATGCCTTCCAAAAAAGAGGAAAAAGCAGATTCAAACGAGAAAACTGCAAATTTTTGGGGAGCCGAGGAAGAAAACCAACACCAAAAAAAGAATTCGCACATATTCACACTCATCCAAGCCACATGCCTCTCAATCACTTCCTCCACTTCCATATTCCCCATCTTCCGCGCAAGGCTCAATGCAGTGATCCCATCCACCTGTTTGTGCACATCGGCTAAGGCATCCAGCAGCAGCTCGCACACTACCACGTGGCCACCCGCTGCAGCTAGGTGAAGTGGGGTGTAGCCGGTACCTCCAAGTGAGTTGTGAAAAACCATCGATGATTGTTAGGGGCAGAATGCAGGGCCGGGAATTAACATTAAGCATCTCCCTCAGCGCGTGAAACAAAAGCACGCAACAGTAGCACATGGGAAGGCTAAGCTGAGCCATACGCGATGGCTCTTTAATGCTCTTTATCTCTTTTGGGAGACTCCGGAAATCCGCACCTCTGCATCCATCATTCACAGAGAGGCCCACAGCCACCAACTCCCGAACCACCGAAGCACTGCCACGGCCGGCGGCCAAGCGCAAGGCCTCGCCCATGTCGGCCGCTGCCGCGCCATCTGCCACGAATTGGAGAACGACAGGAGCATCATCATGTTGAACAGCGGTGAGTAGTAGCCTCCGGCTTCGGTCTTCCTCATCCAAGCCGCGTCTGGGTCTACTCTCTTTCAGGCTGGCAACTGCTTGCCCAACCTCTTCTTCCATGGTGGCGTTCACGTGAACTGGCACTTCATGCATGAAGAGCGCCTGGGCTAAATCAGGACTGATCATGTCCTCCTGCCCTTCCCCCTCCAAAGAATTGCAGCATAGCGCTTCAATGCCCTTCACCGCAACTGCAGAGTTGCCCATTGCAGCGCCGAACCTTCAAACAGATTAAAACCTGAGAGGTGGTATTCTCAATTGTTGCTGCAGCCTTGGGTTCTTATGTAGCTTGAGATCTCGAGAGGTTTCGATGCAAGCGACTGCTAGTTGGGTACGAAGCTTTACAGACTGCTGTGGGTCCAAGCCGGTCTAGAAAACTGTCCATAAAACAAAACGGATGCCTAAACTTTGCAGATGTCTCACCAAACGCTGCAAACATGATTTCATGGTCTGCCTCACAGGCCTTCGCTTGCTTGATTTGATGCACGCAGGCAAGAAGGCGGCATGATACACCGTGATGACTGAGCACGCTTTACATCTGCACATGTGAATGGAAACTGCATATGTTTTGGGGACTCCACTCCATGTGTCCAGCCAAAAACCATCAAACGTCGGTCCGTCCATCCACATGTCCCAGGTCGTCGGTCCGAACCCCCCCGCGGTCGGTGGAATCAAAGGCACTCGCTGCCGCTCCTCGCTGATCCGCGAGCGAGCTTCTTCTATGTCTGTCTGCACTTGCCTGGAGGCCAAATCCAAAGTAGATACAGTAGACTATGACTATAGCATAGACTGATGTAGGCAGAAACCTCAAGCTGCACATAGCTGCACTCTTTATGCACACAAGCTTTCTTGGTGGGGGGTGCCACAGTTCTGAAAAGTGGATGGCTTTCCGACACTAGAATTAATCTAAATCCACCTGCATGATCCTCATACATCCCACGGGTTGCTCATCCACGTTTATGCACCCACATCACCCAGCTAGACGCTCTAAATCACTGCGCAAGCAAGCGCGGATGCACCGCAGTCGACTGCGCCTCAAATGTGTGGCCATCTCTTCCTCCGCGTGGCGGCGATCCTCCCGGATCTTCTCCACCTTCGCTGCTTTGATCGATTCGCGAAGCTGCTTCGCCGTGCAGTTAAGCTCCACTCACTTCGAAAGGTCCGAGTCACTTAGATCACCGTGGTCCACTCGCGTTCCAACCGTCAACTCAAGGTCCTGCTAGCTAGCTGCTAGCTGCTAGCTCCTTCCCAAATCGGCCTCCCGCTGCTTCTCAGCCATGAACTGCTGCCAGACCGAGAGTTTCTCCTCCTCAAAGGCTTGACGCCCCCGCCTGTGCCGATGGGATCGAGCGTCGCAAAATGCCTAGGGCCAGGTAGATCCGATCTACCCCAAGCGGAGACCCAAGTGGATGGATCTTTGGATTGCTGGTGCACTGGTGAATCCTTTCCCATCTTTCCATTGGTCTTGTGCTTACCTCACATAGACTGGGTAGGTGCCCGCAGCCGTGACCTAAGGAAAAAGCACCATGGCTCGGAGTATCAGATGCCTTTCAGCGACTCAAATTGGCAACAGCGCAACATTCTAGTCCAGAATTGCATGTATATAGACAGAGTGAGAAAACTCTGGCGGAACTCACCAATCAAATCCTTCTCGCAAAACAACGACTGTATATACCAGTGGCCCTTGAAAGCATGAAAAACCATGGGTTTCACATCTATGCACCATGTTTTTTGCTAAACCATGTGCTTTATGGTTTGTGGGACCCCTGGAAATATTAATCATATTATACGTCCCATACTACGTCCCATACTACATGATCTATCGCCGTCTTATCATGTGCCAAGGACTCGGAGCATCGGCCTCCCACACCTCCCGGTTTGATCGGCCTCAACTCACTCCGATGCTGCTTGGTCTCCAACTCCGCCTTCTTCAGCCAGCCGACGAAGCTCCGCCGCAGGTCGCTCACCTGGCGGCGAGCGAAGCATGGGAGATCATGGGAGTGCTTGTCTTGCGACCCGAGAGAGATGAAGAAAAGCACAAAACCGGAGGGAAGACGCTTGGAAGCTGGAACATTTCGACATCGTAAATTCTGTTCAACTTCTGGATCTTCTGGAACCCTTCCTAGAAGAAAACGTAGCTTGCCAGTTGCCAGCTTCTCTTCACTTTCACCTTTTGGTTCCACCGCCAGGCCCGGTCCGCGCCATCTCCTCGAAGTCAGGGTCGGCATCCTCATCGACGGGGCCTCCGGGTGGGCAAAGCACAGAAGGGACCGCCGGCGGGGACCACCAACTGAACAGTTTCTCCAACCATCCCATGAGTTTCAACCGCGACTCGCCTGCAGGCAGCTGGTCCCAGGAGCCATAGGGTGAAGAGGGGTTCGCCTCAAGTGATTGGCAAGTGACACTAAAGCAGCAAGCAAAAGCGCTCTGACCCTACATCATGAGCCAAGAAGTGCGCTATAAGCCTGTCTAGTAGCATGCTAATATATAACATTATACAATACATACAATTGCATGCAGTTTGTGAAGGCTTTGGACTTCGGCAGTTCCAGCCTACCAGGTCTGGTCTTACATCCAACGCCCCACTGCTGTTCAGGTGACACTGAAGGGCCGCGAGCCAGGCGATCCTGCCGGCCCCAGCATGTGTGCAGGCGCCGTGGCCGGCGGCTGCGTCGTGGGGAGCGGCGCCTGGCCGAAAGGCGGCCCGTGTAGAACTCGGGTCCGGGCTCAAGGATTCAATTCTTCTGTTGGGATTCGTCATGATGCATTTGTTTCATTGAACTCTGAAACATTGAAACTGGTTGAGCCATGTTCAACCTAAAGTTCATACGCTTCCTCTCGCCAAATGGGTTGACTAGAGTGATGTGATCCAAAAAAAATAAACGTCACCTGATGAGCATAGCCGTTGCCCAGGTGGCTATAGGTCGCCATGGAAGTCCCGGCGTCCGCGTGCGGCGGACGGCTTGAGGCTACGCTACGCGTCGACGGGTTTCAGGCGAGCTGGTGGAATCACTGGAAGATGCTGTTCCAGAATATCACCCCTACACCTCCATACCATTCAAAGGGAATGGCCAGGTATAGGAAGAAGCTGCCCTGGAAACTGATCCATTTTCAGAAACCGGATGACCTACATCCCCGCAACACAAAACCACGACCTCTACATCTTCTGCACCTGGCAGGCTCCAAAGGCGCGCGTTCGCGAACAGCGTCTGTCCTGGGAGTGGTCCAACCGCCACTTCCCTGGGCCTGTGGCGAGCTGGCCGTCTGAAAAGGCATCGGCTGCCCTTACCCAATCCTTACACTATATATAATATACTATAATGTGATTAACTATTAAGAATGAGCATATTCTTAAGTAATCCTTGCACTTGCTTCAGAAGTTAGAGTAATTATTCCTCATCATTACATCATTGATTGAAGGTGCTGCACGGTGCTTTTCATCCGGGATGGCGATGCGCGGCGCGATCGGCGCCTCGTGAGGTCGCACAGCTTCCGGCCTTCTGAAACTCGATGACGTCGTCACTGAGTCGGGAAGGACGGCGTCGATCTTTCCCGGTGCGATCCGATGCCGATGCGATCGAATTGGTGGAAGATGGGGGATAGAATGCAAATACATCCAACGGACACGAATGTCCTTGCCAGGAAAATCAATACCATCACAAGGCCCACTCACTCCGCCTTAAGTGCTCAATTTCATCTACCAAAGGCCTGTGAGCCCGAGGCCACGATGTGAGCCAGTGGCAAAACGAGGCTTAGCGTGTTCACCCTTGTAAAGCAGTGTAACCCTTGCAGCTGCCATGCCTCTCCCAAAGATTGGACATGAACCAGGTGTACCTGAAGACAGCTGTTCAACTAGCACCCTGTCAGCTAGAGTAGCTATCTGTTCATTGCCACGCTAGGGGTCGCGATGTCATCACTTTTGGGGCACAGTGGGATGTACCAGAACAATTGTATATAGCATAATTCTACACAATAATATATAAATACAATTCCAAGGTCTACTTAGTAGTTGCATGTAGTAGTTCACAATTTCAAAGACAAGCTGCGTGAAGTTCAACTAGTTTCCTCTCCGATGCTCGAGTGGGCACCACTTGCCCAAAATCCGTTGCATGGGGACGTCGCTTTGGTTGGACCTCAGGTCACTCTGGTGCTTTGGCCCCGCAGGTGTCACTCGGTGTCACTCGGTCTCGGTTCAACCGCCTGCTGCGCCTTTCTGTTCACAGAGGCATCGCACAATCCAATTAGAGGTCTATGAAGCGCTCGTGCTAGAAGTGTTGACGGAGTCCATCCAAGTCTGCTTCAGCATGGAATCAATCATATACCAGGAAATAAACTACTTGCACCACACTGCAAGCACTACGTCTACATCATCCCAATGTCCTGCCCCAGCTCCAGATTTCGTTGACAGTTCCAAATATCACACACAGGCACAAACAAATCATTCACTTCGCTGGGCGCCCAGCATCACCTCGCAAATCACACCTTCCCAACCTGGGCCAACCACTTCCGGTGCAAGTGACAAGTCGGTGCCTCCATCACCACCACTCCACAGAATCTGAGTGGCTGACTGTCAATGACCTGAGCTGACTTGCGTTCCCACATGGGCTGTTTGAAGATCTTCACATCCAAGCTTCAGTCCAAGCGTGGGTTTTGCTTGTGCTATTGTCTGCTTTTATAATGCTTCACGTGCGTTGAATACCGGAATTTGGTCCATCGACCGCGTCCGGGTTTCCCCGCTTGGTCGCGGTAGGTCCAAGGTGGTTTTCGACCCACCTGAGCCAAGTGCTGGGAGAGGCTAGGAGCCGCTAGGGTAGGGTCAAATTGTGCACCAACACCATGAAAACTGGAGGGATTTGTATTAGCTTTGTCCTTCGATTTTTAGCGCAGCTGGCAGGTTTCTGCTGATCGCGCACTTTTCGAACTCATAGACAAGCTCTTGTGAAAGATGACATCTGCCGCAGGCTCCTGGCTGATGAGGTTGCCAACACAAGGGCTTTAACATGACACTTTCTGAGTTGCATGTGTGCTGGTGCTCTCGTGTCTGCCCTGCAAATGCCAGCGCACAGGCCAAAATCAGCACACGTCCCAGCATTGGGACCAACAGCTGTGTGAGTGACATGTGAGACTATTGGTCCCCCTGACCACCATAGACTACAATTTACACTATCCTTTTCTTCTACTCTTTGTTTCTAGTAGCGATGGGTTCTAAAACCTAATAGCTGCAATTTCTCCTTTAAACCCATTGCTCTCCTCGGCTAAGTTCCTTTGGGCATTTTCGGGTGGTCCGGGAAGTCGGGCGGCGGCACATTCGGCGGCGGCGGCACGGGCGGCGGCGATGGTCCCGACCGCGGGCTTCGCTGGGGCGGCGACGGCGGCTTCGTGGGTGGCGGTGGGGTTTCAATGCTAGAGCTGGAGGAGCTGGAACTTACCTGCGAAGATGGAAGAGTTGGAGACTTGGAAAGTACTCGGTCGATTTCTATGGTAGCTCACTATGATTACAGTATCATTGGACTTATCATTGGTACCCCAAAACCGTGCACCTCCTTTGCTGGACGCCAAGCCGCTACAAATCTGCAAAACCCAGAACAACTCTCCAGGTCTGCCAGAAACTTTATACCTTAACGGTGCTGCATTACTTGCCGTAGAACAAGTTCCTTTTGTGTGAGGGCAGCGCTACTGCCAGCACCACGAATAGTTCACCAACGCCACGTCACATCCACACCTGGATCTCCAACAGAAACCGATATATATATATATAGCGATGGCCTGCAACCTAATAGCAGTGGCTAGCAATGGCCTCCAACCTACTAGCGATGGCCTCGAACCTAACAGCACTTCCTACGACTCCATGGGTTCTGGTTGTGCCCAGGTGCCACTGAGCTCGGTGGTCGTGCCGGAGCTTCGGGCGGAGCTTCGGGCCAATCTGGCTTCACCGAGATCTCCTCCTCCTCCTGAGGTGCTTGCAGCGGAGAAAGGAAAGGACCCTTACAATAAGGAACCATGGTGGGAACCTGTGCAAGCTCAGCTTGGTTAGGTCCCCATTTGGAGAGGTAACACTCCAGCTGTTGTATCTCCCGATCGAATCACAAAGAAACAAAATCAATAGTCCAATCATTTCGTGCGCACATGTTTGTTGTTTGATACATTTTGGGATGCCCTGCGCCCCCTGCATCATGTGCAAATCTTTTCCCACTCAAACTCTGAGGTAAGTTTTGCCAACCGCTTCGAAAAGCCCTACCGACCTGGACAAGAAACTAGAAGAAACATGAAGAAACATAAAGAAACGAAAGAAACAGGTTCTTAAACTCATCATGGCTGCCCCCTCATCTGGTCCATAAATGTAGTACTTCTCGTCTTCCGGGTCGAGCCACTCTGAGGGCTCTTCCTTCAGCTTGGCTCGCATGTAGTCTTCGCGATCCCTGGCAGATCTCAACTGTCTCCATTCGAAGTAGGGGACATGTAGAACTTTGTAGCCCATCCGCGTTAACAGCCGATGCTTCAGCTTCGTATAGGCAGTGTATTGCTGAGAGTTCGCGTAGAAGTGACTTGGGCCATCCACCTCGATGGCAATGGGCCGGTCCTCTCCGGTGGGGACGTTGCCATCTTCATCCGCCAAAGGGCCACTTAGCTTTCGAGTGAGCTCCTTAATGATCGAATCCTTCTCCTGTTTTTCTTCCTGTGAGGGACTGAAGACGCAATGGTGACAGCAGGTGACACCACAAGGACCACAATCAGCCCAACAGTACTCCCAACAGTGTGACCCCCTTTGGAGTTTGAATCGCAATCAAATCAGGGTCAGCAATAGGAGTGGGTTCTTCTTCGCGGTTCTTCGTGGTTCTTCTACGTTCTTCATCTATCTTGAGAAACCTTGAGAGGCCATCCATTTTTACGCATGAATTCTGCTACAGGGATCCAATATACAATCCAAAGCTACTAATTACTTCAGGAAATCACTTGCCAAGAACACAGCTTTCTGTGATGCCATACCTGCTGGTGACTGCACCTTCCAGTTAAAACATGAAACACCTCGGACCTCGGTCAAGATCTCTTCATTCCCATCCAGCAGCCGCTGGCGATAGACCTTCGGCTCCGTCGCTGCGCGGCGCACCGCGCCGACGACGAGCGGCACGGCACCGCGCGGAGCGGCCACGCGCGGGAGCGCCGTGCGGAGCAAGCGCAGCATGGCGCGGGCGAGAGCCGAGGAATGGCCAGGCAGTGAAGTAAGTTAATATCAGCTATAGTTAATATCAGTTGTCAGTGCCCGTCAGTGTTCCAGAAATGGTGTCTTTGGCGATTTATTTTGGTTGCAAGGCTACGCGGCTACTCATGTCATGTTGAGCCTTGTCAAGGTTGATGGTGTGTACCCAACATCCTTTCCCGGCCTTCCTCATTTAATGAAACATATGACCAACACTGACCAACAAATTCTGTTCAATAGCTCTGCCTTGGACAATTTCTCAGCTTCAAAGTGCACACGCATCTCTTTGGCGCTCGTCTAGAGTCTAGCCGTCCACGCGGTGCGGATCAACGAACTGCATGGGATCCTCATGGCCCGAGTGAAGAGCAGAAGACTTCACACCACACGGACCAGAAACACCTCTCAAACCATGGTGGCCGCGGTCGCGGTCGCGCCGTCTTCGCGGCGGCGCCCGAAGTGGTTGAGGTCTTCACCCCACCCAGCACCCGCAAGCGGCCGCTCTGGACGAACTCCCGCACAGCCTGAGAGGATTCCATGAGATGCCGTGCCAAATGGTTCCCAGCACAAGAAGAAGGATGAGCCAAGTATTACTGGATGTGCTTTTAAGGAACCCGAAAAATAAAGAAACACTTCAGAAAAAGAAGGTTTGCTGCATGTCCCATAAACAAATCAAACAACCTACTAAGCAAAACCAGGTATTGTATGGCATTGCTTTAAGTTGGAAACCTTCTAGGAAGTGCGGGCAAGAAAGCCCATGACCAAGTGCCCAGACACGCATGACACCTGGGTCGGTGCCAAAGTCATCGAAGATCAGGTACTTTAGCGAAGGCCTGCGAATGTGACTTGGTCACTGGAGCTCTGGCTATGTGAGTTTCGGGCAAACGAAGGTGTCCGCTGATTTCCGCTCTGGCTATGAGCATCACCCGGCAAAGCGGTGAAGCAACCTGATCAGTGAAAGGTGTCGGAGGTTCACCTCACAGAACTTCTCCAGCCTAGATTCAAAGCCCCTGAAGCAGACACGTCTGAAAGAGCCTGAAGTACCGAAGTAGCTGGTTCGTGTCGCGGTAGACCTTGGGTGGATCGTGGCGTCCACTCTCGCAAACAAATGTAAAAGAGTTGCAAAGTAAGCCTCTTCATGTCTCTTCCAAAAATAGGCATGTAACATAGTGCTGCACTACCAACCTGGGGCAAGTGAGTCATTGTCCCCATCCTCATCGGGCTGTTGAGTCAACATCCTGAATCACATCGTCCTAGTCCTAGCCAAGCAGCTGAGGCATACTCATGCTCGGCATCCACCATTGCGACCTGCACCTCGTGATATCTCATGAAAAAGGTTGGCAACTCAGGGCCTTGGTGGGCCTGCAACGTTACAACTCGATAATAGTCACCGGCTTGCAAAACGTGACTTGTGGTTCTCCTTTCGTTGCACATCCTAACAAAGCCCCGGCAAGAGCTGCAAGTTCCAGCGATCCTTCCCACCATCAGCGGTTCAGGTGCCTCATTCTGACCTGACGCACAGAACAGGGACATCGTCGTCAGAAAAAAAGAAAAGGGCACGCAAGAAAGTCCTTCAATCCCTTCATGAGTGATCATGTGTGATCCACACAACGGCTCTGCCCAGCGGCGCAAGCTCCTCAGGCCCTCCACACGGCTGTGGAGGTGGACGAAGAAGATGTTTCGGCCTCTCTTGATTGGACTCGGTGAATTCCAAGCTCGGTGAACCATGGTTCTCCTTTCTATTGAAAGGTTCAGCACCTCCCCTCATTCTGCAGTTCTTTGCTGTTCGGAATTACTTCCTGGGAAGCATTTTTGCAGGAACCTTGAGCAGGATGAGGTGCAACCTAAACCAAAACCCACATATTTCTCTCGAACCAACACCAAGAATGCCTAGCATAACAGGGTGAGATAGCGACTTCGAACATTGGCAGTGCCATTGCGAAGCTGGGAGTCGTTGCGGTCTGCGTTGTAGCGACGGTTGGAGTTCAAGAAGGCCTGGCCAACGCCCAACAGCCCGATGTGGTGCATGATCTATGGCATGAGCCTCTCCAACTTCAGGGTGATGTTTAAAAAGTCAACATCAGCTGCCCCATGTCTGACATGCTCAGCTCCAATTCTTTGTTTTCTTTGGACGGCCGAAGCAGCCCCACCTCTGATGCATCCACCGCAATCACTGAGGCGAAGGTCTCCGCTAAGGCCTGACGCTTCTTGCGTCGTGGACCCACTGTTCGAACATCCTGTTTTTTTAAGAAGCTAGTAGGTTGGAGGCCATCGCTACTAGTAGCAAGAAGCTACGAACGGAGCAAGATCCATTCGATGATCCCGGGGTGATGAGACTCTGTCCGTCTCGCCTGGCCGCCTTGGAAGTCGTCTCGCCCGGAAAGCTTTCAGGTGCGAGTGCTAGGGCAGTTACCCGGGTAGTGTAGCCACGGTAGCTTCCCAGCCTCAGGTGTCGGGCCCTTTCTGTTGGTGTTTCTTTAACGGATTAGATTGAAATCCATGATCTCATATGATCAAAGGGGGGAAACAAATGAACAAGCAAGCAGGACACTACTAGGGGCTCCTGGCCATACTACTAGGAGCAAAACAGCAATGGTTGGATATGGTTGGGTTGTCCTTGGCGGTTTGATGTTGTCTCATCACATCCGGTCAATTCACCGGTACCTGGTGAGACCCGGCTCCTACGACCGTTCGCTGGACCCGGCTCGGGCCTCCGGGCTCCAAAACGGTCCAGTTGGCAGCCAAGGGCATGAAGAAACTTCGAAGGTCCTCTTCAGCTGCAGAAAGACATGGCCCAAGTGATGCCATAGGTTTCGGAGGTCAACGGTGCCAAACAGCACTTGAGACACATAAGCCTCTCAGGGCCTGCCCATTATCCTTCTCCAAACCATCCCTGGCCACTTCACCCCCAGCATCTGCCCAGTCGTCCCATGAAGACCTCCCCCTCTTTTTTCTCACGCACAGCGGCGGATGGCGTCCAGGATGGCGGCCGAGCCCACCTCCTGGATGGTCCGGCCGTTGCGCCTGGATCCAAGCTGACCGTGGAGTGGGAGAAAGACCGGCACGACGCGACACGATGCAACCGGCTTTTTTTTCGGATCTTGGATCGTTTTTTGAGTCTTTTGAGCCCCGCTCGAAATGTTCAACACCCCTTGGAAATCCAAGATTAGTCTTTTTAAAATTGCTTTTTTAGGTAACCCGACAAGGAATGTCCTTTACTTCGGTGGTGCCCAAAAAATGTCTTTGGACTTCTAGAGCGCCCGTGCGCCTGTGGATGTCGGCATCATTGGCCTCCTCAAGGTCCGGGTTCCTCAACCTTGGAGACGAGGAAAACTGTTGCCGAATCCGCGAACATCGAAAAAGCAGTCCATGACTGTCAAGAAGAAATTGCTTCCCGACCCTCAAAATCTCCCCGACCCATGCGGGGGGGAGGCTTCAATCTTTGGACCCCGACCACCTCTTCTACATGCCTGAAAACTGAGAACACAAGATGCTCAAGTCCGAGATCCAAAAATAACAGTGCATGGAACTTGTACAAAAGCTCGAAAGGCAATCTAGGAGATTCGGAGACAGTAACAGTACCACATGATTTTGTGAGGTGCCTTCTCCCTGGGTACTGTTACTGTCTCCGAATCCCTGGCAACATGAAGCGATGGCCTCCAACCTAATAACAATGGCCTCCAACCTCACAAGCGCATTGGGCACCCAAGTTAATGAGTCACCTCCCAAAATGGACCTCAGTTGCTACATGTAGCTCACCCGCCTGACCCACCTTTGGAAATACAAAACACTAACAGGTCCTCTTTCATCTCCGTGTCGTCTCAAACCAAAACCGCGGTGTATGCGTCGTACTTCACCGGACCCAGTGGCAGGTGGATGGCGACCCGTGGGCCGCGCGAGACCAAGCGCTCGATGGCGTCGATGGGCGGAGGAAGCTCAATGAAGCTCTCCTGGCGCCCACGGAGAAGTGCTTATTATTGTTTCTAATAGAAAACATTGTTACTACTAGTAAGGCACTTGTTACTAGTAGCGATGCACTTGTT